ATGGTGCTCCTCCTCGAATAGTCTGGCCAAGGGGGAATAGTTTGCCAAATAGTTGGGTGAAAAGAGTGAGACGGAGTGGACAGAGTGGCGGATTGGATGGTTCTACGGGGAAAAAGTGCCGGGGTTTGGATGGGGGATGATCCTGGTCCGAGGAGAACCGAAAAGTGTGGGGATTGGTTTCTTCCTCTACCCGCGGCGAGTCTCTCCTTCGAGTCCTTGGTAGATTTTGTCTTTAGATAGTGGTAGAGTGGTGCGTAATCGAAGCCAGAGGAGCCAGCGCTGCTCTGAGCTCGTCCTTGTTGTTTGATTTATTTTTGGGATGTGAAACTAGGTTAACAATAGGCGAATTAATAGCTGCAATCAAGAAAACAGAGAGACAGGAGAGGGCATCTAGTTAAAACGGATGGAAACTAGTTGCAAGCTTAAATTACAATGTACTACACTCTGTGCTATATTTTAAGTGCTCCCTGAGGTCCTGTTATGGCACCTAGTACTCGCACAGAAGAGGTGTATTTGTTTTATTTAATCAAGTTTTATTCCTACTGGGCAACAGTGTTGTTACCATTTACCACCTAGAAATGATATTTATTTGTGTACATATATGCACTATAATGGGCTTTCCGGATTCAAAATCTCAGCTAAGTACAACAAATCGTTCATCATTGATTAATAAACACATTTTGTCAGCTCTACAAATTTCAATCCAGAAGATTCTGGTCTTTGAATTTCCTTATTTTCATTATCGATTTGGAATACCTGTTTTATTATTTTCATTAGAAATTTGTTTACAATGTATGGCAAGTGTACAGAAAAATGTTTATCAAAGTTTCCAAGGAACTACGTGCATATGTATGTTTCTTTATATTTACATTAACCCAGATTTCGCAAAAGCTTCAGTGGTTCAAGTTCATCATTTCGCAGAAATAACTAATGGAATGTCAATTTAGATATCGAAAACTTCTGCCAATTGTGTGGATTTCGATATTAAATCGTATTTTTCTTGTTGCGGTTTTCCGCGCTTTGTTTTGCTTGCTTTGTTTTTTTTTTTCTATCTCTATTTCTTTTGTTTTCGCCTGGCCTGGGGGATTACATAAACCTTGATTTCTATTCAGCCTTTGACAATGGCACACGTAGATTAATTAAGAGCCACCACCCCCAACCCCTGCTGGGTGTGCAAGGGGGATTGCGAAAAGGAATCAATCTGTACAACGGGAAATTTCGACTGCAAAGGCGGATGTTAAGTGTTAAACGATTGTTTGCTGTTAATTGAAAATCGTTGCTGCCACATTATGTTGCACAACGGGGTGTATGTATATATGTGTGTGTGGGGATATGGGTTGCCTATATATGCACTTTTTGATGGCACACAAATCGATTTTTTCGCACACTCGCACATCGCAAATGTCGTGTGTTCAACTACTCGGCTTTCCTTTTTGTGTGTGTTCTTGTTTTATTCTTTTTTTTTCTGTTTCTGTCTTTGCTGGCTTTTTTGCTTGTTTTATTTGCAATTGTTTACGCTTTGACAAACATACATATGTACACAAGGACATACATACACATATGGGTCGCCAGGACAAAATGCGCGCAACAGTGGGGCAAAAAAATGAGGAAGAAGGGAGGGGGAAGGAAAAGCAAATCGTTGGCATACTTTAAATTTAATTCCCGCAAACAAACATTGTAATGGGAGTGGGGTGCTATGGAGAGCAATATGGAGGTGGGGGGTGGCGCCTGCAGGACAACGGGAGGTGTGTCTGTGTGTGTATGTCTGTTGATAATGACAGTGTGCTGTCCCCCTTCCACACGTCCTAATGATGATTAAAATGCCATTGCTAAAGAGCCGAGGAGAAAGAGGAGCTAAGAGAAAGAGAGAAAGCTGGCAATAGGGAGTCGCAGGATGCTGCCCAAATCTGTGTATGTATATATGTGGACGTAAGCAGCCACCATCTCGCTTCCTCTCGTCGCGTATGTGTGTGTATAGATAACCTCGATTTACAGATTTTTCACACACATAGGCACTGCTTGGCCCTGCTTGTTGCTACTCACATGTTAGCTACATCTTCTTAAGCTGCTGCTGTTCCTTCTTCACTTAAACATACGAAAAAAAAAAATTGTATAAACTTTTTTTTTATTTTGGATAGAGCATAGCCTATTTATTAAGTTTTTTTTTACCAATATTATTTGAAAACACAATCACACATCGACACACAGACACTAAAGGGGCGCGCTTTTAAATTTCTTAATATTTGGATTCTAACACTTATTGTCTTAATTTGTAGGGTTTTCAAATGTTTTTTTGGGGATTTTTTCTTGATGGGGACAACAAGAAATATGCTAGTGCTTGGCTGGTCAGTTGTCGACTGAGCTGCTGCTAATGTTGCTGCTGCTGCGTTCTTGCTACTGCTGCAAAAGTGAGAACGAGAGCGCCAGAGAGAAAGAGCAGGCGATGCTGCTTACCAGGTCTTGTAAATGTATGTGTGTTAGAAAGAATCACACTCTCACTCACACTGCCTGCAAGTTATGCTTATTGAAAAGTAACGGAATCAATCGTTGCTCCTTTTTTTTTGTTAAGCCTACTTCAAGGCGCTCTGTTGATTTCCATTGAATTAATAAAAAGAATCTCGGTTGCCTTTAGCTGATGTGTGTGTGAGGACAGCTGCCATGTGAGCGACTATTGCGCAGGCTTACGCTATTTCGCCCCCAAAAAACGTTTTTCGCGTACACGCTGGATATCCTGCAAAAACAACAACTACTTGGGGAAAAACAATGCAAAATGTTTTGCGCGCGCGGTCACATGACTCGAGTTACACACACACAGGTACACAGTCACATACAGCACTTATACAACTGTAAAATTTGTTGAGGCAGCGCAGGAGCGCAACACACATACACCGTTTTAAGTTTTTAAAATTAAAGCTTTTTTGATTTACTTTGCCGAAACATCTGGAAGAGATTTTTTATCGGGAGCCTCTCGTCTTTATTTATAGAACTAATTTTTTGTCAAAATGTTAGCTTCTTTTTGTGTTTTTTTTTTGGTTTGGGGTAAATCAACGCGTGCGAACGCGTCGAATGCTCTGCAGCGAAAAACTGAAACTGGGCAAAACTCAAACGGCAGCGTTTTCCGCGCAGTTTCCACGGCAAGTGTATGTATATGGAGAATACACACACTTGCACGTACATATATCCTGGTGGTTATGCAAAGCAGCGAAGAGTTGTAGGGTTGTCGCTGGCTCTGATTTTGATTTTGCCGTTCGCGAGAGAACAACCCTGGCCGAGGTTTCCTTTCCCCAAGAATCGATACTTGTTGTTGTTGTAAGGAAGAAGAAAGGGAAGACTTTGTTTTAAAGAAAGGGAAGTAATAATCCCACATACGAGTACATACTAAAAAAATGTAATCTGCTCAAATGTAAATACTTGCATAGTCCAATAGTATACAGGCCTTCTCCCTCTAACCCATAATCGCAGTTAAATTTGCATGGTAATGGTAATGAGTTATGTGCCGTTATGCTTTATCCTTTTTGTGCGAGAGCCCATTATCAATAACTCAGCAAAGTAGGCAATAAAAAGGAGTCTTACAAGAGGGAGAGACTCTTGCGTCATGTTGGTTAATGTAGTCCAATAAGAAACTTGTTGGTCGAAGAACAAGAACAATAAAGATAGAACAATGACTTTCGCTGCTTTGATAAGAATCAGCTTGGGCGAGCGAAAGGGCAAGCGAAAGAGGGAGAGCTTAAATGATTCATCTGGAGCGAAACGAGCAGCAACAACAACTTAACGGTGATGTGATGGTGATGATATTAAAAAGCAGCACGCAAATGCAAACATGTTGTCATTCCAACACACACACACATAACACAGCACGTACACAAGCCGTTAGAATTTGCATTTTGAGTTGACACACTCGCACACACACAAAGGGGACATAACATCATCGGCAGCAGTAACAAAAACAAAACACATTCCTCAACACCCACAAAAATACAACTTCTCCCGACCCCCTGAAAGCCCAAAAAACCCCGCCCACCTGTTTCATGTCGATTTTCTCCGCTGCTGGACACTTGTCGCGCTTGACCAATCTAATCCAAAAACGGCGAGTTGAATGCGGTTGCACCAACACGGGCAAGGCGATAAACAAAAACGCAACGGCAAATAAAAAGCACAACACACGACGAATTCTCAAACGGGGAGAAATGGGGCAGTTTTGACAACAGTTGTGTATCGAACAGTGTGACCATAGACGCGGACATGCGAAAATACCAAGGGTAGACGAAAATATACCAAAGTACATCTTTTGAGCACCTGAATGAGTTTGGGGTATTCCTCATTCTTCAATTATTAATATTTCGAAACTTTCAAGACGATGATGTCTGAATGTCAGATTTATATGTATTCTGATTTTGTAAAACTAAAAAGTTGTTTAAAGTAGTAGTTCGATACCCTGGATCTTAAAGATATTGTCCTTAATTCAGAATCCATATTAGAATATGTAACAATAAGTCGAATTTTCTGTCTTACGTTCGGATATTTAGTACCCAAAAATTGAAATCCTCAGATAAGGTCAGGCAATATATTTTTTTTCACATACTCTGATTAAATAATTAAATAAAATGTTATCTGACCAGAGTGGTTCCTGAATTATAAATTTAAAGATTAGATTATTATATTATTATCAAGTCAGATTTAAGTAAAAATGCTATATTAAAATCAGTAAGAGCCAAATACATACGTTTCAATACTTCCTTAAAGTAAATAAAAATGACAAAGCTTTTTCCTTTACAAATATATTAAATCTTAGAAAAAAATATTTAAATAATTTGATTATAAGTAGGATTATTTTCTCCATTTTATAAAAATCTGCTTAGATTTTTTATAATTTATTTTCTTCTATTTAATTATTTAACAATCAATTTTATTTTTGAAGTACATTGTCAGTTTATTAGTTTTAAATCAAAATTGCATTTGTGGTTATATTCATTCCAATTAATATTTTTTTTTATTATTATTGTACTTTATTATAAAATGGTTATTATAATTTTTTTTATATTTAATATTTTTATTAAAGTCATTCTCATGGGCTTGTGATTTTGGATCACAATTGCAATTGTGATTCTTATGACCATTGATCAGGAATCTCAGTAACACGTCATAATAATCGTTCTAGTTGGAATGGTGCGCCTTCAAAAACACCCATGCTCAATGGTATTACAATAAATAGTCATATTCTAGTGGAAAAGGTGGGGGTCACGCCTCGCTCCTGGACTGCAGAGCCCCGTGTAGCAGCCACTCGCGTCCGCCGGGCTGTTGGCATCGCTCCAGAAGCTTCTCTAGCCGCTTAGCCTGCTCCGGCAACTGTTTCTCCTGGAGAATCCCGGATATTTCCTGCAAAAGGGCGTGCCGCATTAAATTCGGCTCATCTTCGGCAATGTGACGCTTTACGCAGGCCACTAGCTCCTCCAGGTGCTCGTCCACGGCACCGGGAAAGAGATGCTCCATGGCGGCGGCCAGGTTGAACAGGTACTCGCGATTAGGGCCACTGGGCCCCGCCGAGCTGAAGATTTGCTTAGCAATGCAGGGCACTTGCCACACATCCCCGGCATAGGAGTCGTTCGCTTGTGTGGCCACGTACATGATCACCTGGATGGGCTCTTCGCCGCTAGCGGTGGTATTTGGGTATCCATGGAACTCCAAGCTGCACCTTTCGTAGCCATTCTTTTCTCGGTAATCCAGATGATCCAGCACGGCTCCCTTCTGGTTCGCAGCAATGCGATATGCCACGCCGTAGACGCGGTCCTGGCCGGGATCACCCGGCAGCAGAGTGACCACGCGACCAGGACGCTCGGGAATCCCACGGTGATCGATGCTGTGCTGGTAAAAGCGACGCTTGTAGCCCCAAACAAAGCCGCGCCGACGGTTTATATAGGGAAAATCGGCCTTCCACACCAATGAGCCGTAACCAAAGATCCAGACATCTGCGTCCGTGGCCGCCGGCGGCTCCAATTGATTACTGGCCTCCGAATCGAAACTCCGTAGCATGGAAAAACCTTCCGGCTTTTCCTGCCCATTGGTCTTACATCCGTTTTCCTTGGCCGCCACAAGGACATCTGCGAAGATCTCACTGTAAATGTCGCTTGGCAGCTGCTCCGATCCCGAGCCGCTGCCTTTCAGTCCCTGTAGATAGCCCAACATCAGCTACGGCGCTCCGTTTGCCAAATAATTGTTAAAAATTATTAATTTGGCAGCTTGGCAGTCTATCGATAAAGACGAAACAGCACCAAAGTTATCGCTGTCAGCTGTTACAGAGCTTACAGGGTTACCAGAGTATTTCGAAACGTACGTTGAACAAAAAAGGTTAATGATTTTATTCACGTTTAATTCGTGATTACATTAAAAATGGAGAAAAATATGTAATTCGTGTCTAGCTATCAGTTAATTTGTATAAACCTGAAACTATTAGACTCAGCTTACTTATATTTAAAAGACAGTTAACCTGACAGCCCAGCACTCTGTTAACCGAACAGCTGTGCGTCGCTGTCTCCATCCCGCTCGCACCTTCAGCGCTGCCACAGCAACAACAACGAATACGTAAACAATCCGATTTTAATCGGGATTACCTGAGAAATAACACCCCGGAAACCCAACAAACCCCCACCAAAATGTCCGGCAAGGACGATCGATCCAAGGAGTGAGTGCAACGTAACAGCAGTCGGCTGACCGACCTTTCAAATCGCACTTTGTTTCGTTTTGCAGTAAGCGTAGGAACATGAAGCAGTACAATCATCACCACAAAAAGGATCAAGGACGATCCACCACATCATCAGGATCTCCGCCGCCTACCTCTCGTCGCAGCATGGTGGATGTGGCCGACTCCAGCGATGAGCCAAGGTTTCCCAGGCGCGGTAATTGGCAATCCGGTGGATCAGGTCGCTCCCTGTTGGCACCGCAAAGGAACAGGGACCTGCTGGACACCCTGCCCAGTGACACCGATGAAGTGGAGCAGATTGGCCTGGACGGGGCTCCCATTGATGAGAATGCCCGTGCCCAGCTGCGGGCAGGTGACTTCCAGCAGTTGGCCCAGTTTCCCAGTCTCGGTGGCGGTCACTTCACCTTCGGTTCGGAACGCGAGTGGGCCAACGTGGCCGAGGGGCAAACGAAGCTGCACACCAAGGCGGCCAGTGGCTACTTCACCCTGAACTTGACACGCCTGAATGCGGGTCTGCAAACGATTCCGTTTTACAAGCGAATGGATTATCCTGCTGGGATGTTCACCCGGGCGCAGATCGTCGCCCAGGAGGAGGCTGCCGAACGGGCCGAGGTTGTTTACCAGCAGCGCATCCTAAAGGACTCCAACGGGGGTTCCCAATCGCGAGCGGCCTCAGCTAAATCCAATAAGGAGGCGGCAGCTCCTGCAGCGCCGGAGAAACCAGCCGCTGCCCCAGCCGAACCTGATGAGCTCGACGAGCTCCTGGCCATGACCAATACGCAACTGGACATTGGTACAGGCGGTATAGGACCCATCACAATGCCCATGCCCATGGTGCAACCGGCAACGCCTTCCTCGGCAGCCAGCAAGAACGAAGTGGAGCAGTGGCTTGATTCTGTTTTGGATGAGTAAGTCACCAGGATTTATTGTTAGACACAGGAGAAAAGGGATTCGATGTTAGAGCACTTCCTGGATTGATTCCAAAGCATTTTTAACTAGCTACGCTTACACAAGCTACTAAATAAATAAGTGCTTGTCCTTAAAGAGTAATAATTGACTTGAAATAAGTGTGTTCCAAGTAACTTTACATCAAATGCTAGAGCTTTTTTATTTTATACAATAAATCACTAAAGCTTAACTTTAAAGCAAGTTACATGTGTTTCATAAAAGAGGAAAGCTGAAAAATATTAAATATAACACATTAAAACCATAAGGAAATGTTGTGAAACGTTCTTGTCTTCTTTTTATTTTTTTAGTATTTTGGGAAAACTGTGAAAATCTTTTTTATTGCTAATTTCCACAAATGTTGCTTTGCTATTTGGAGATATGGCCGTTATTTTCCTGGTAGCACTTGACTAAGTGGCCATGCAGGAGCTGCATAAGCTCGCAAATGGCCTCCAGAAGCACGAGCTGCTCCCCCAGGTGTCCCAAATCACCACTCTCAACCATGTTGGGACGCATTTCCTCGACGATGGCGATTAGCCAGCGAACCAAAATGGCCGAGTCCTCCTTGGATAGTTGCATCAATTCCTCCGGCACACCGGTCTCCTGGCAAAGTTTCTGGCCATGGCCACCCAGGGGTCCGACCACCAAAAGACTGGATACCAAACGGACCACTAGATGCAGAGCATGCAGATAGGATTGCAGATAAGTCCGGGGATTCACCACCGCGACGGCAAGGATCAGTGTTCCAGGTGCACGCAATCGGTGCGAGTCCAGGCCCAAATCCGCGAGCCGATCCAACATGGCCCAAAGCAGGCAGTTCCCAACCACGCGGGCCATTGTGCTCAGCGGACTGGCCGCTCGGCAGCACAGGATTAGGTTGAGCATTATGCCAGAATCGTTGGCATCTAGAAGTCCCAGGATATGCACGCATAATTGATGGACCTGTTTGAGGATCAAAAATGGTTTTTTGGTTTTACTTAGACAGAATTTTTGATTAATTCCATTCTATTTCAGTTGAAAATTTTCTACAATTAAAAAAAACGGTTTTGAATTTTGCAAAAATCAAATGTATTACGTATACGTATTTTCAGAACGTTCCTATGGCAGGAACAAACCGAAATACGTATACGTAATATATAAACGCATAGAAATAGAAATGTCTGGTAGTTTTTTTCAAATAATACATATTTCTTATAGCTGGAAGAAAACAACAGTTCTCACTTTAAAACTACAATTTCTAAACAAGTGATTGTTATATTGGGCACCTACATGGGTTTCCTCGGTGCAGGCTAGGTAATCGAAGCACCTCTGCAGGAAGAGAGTCCTCTTGACCTGGGTGCCCGCCATATCATCGTGGTGGAGTAAAAAGACCATCATGCCGGTCACATAAACCGGTGCCAGTTGCTCCGCTCCGAATTCGATTGCTTCCTGCTCAACCAGTTCATCGAATCCTGCAATAATCTGAGGGAAAATGTAATGTCAAGACTCCTTAACTTTCTCACCTCCAGAACATTGTTGGTTCCATAGATAAAATAGCATTGATCGCGAATGACGGAGTGTCCCAAAGTCTGACGCAGTTCCTCCAAACTGAAGCCCTGGGGTCGCACCATATGGCTCATGGGCGATTCCTGCAACGGTTCCGGGCACCAACTGAAAAATGGAGTATTACTTGGAATTACAGGAAGAACGCGCCTTCAAGGAGTCCCTTTCCCTCCCCTGCAAATTAGTGACTGAAAGATGTGTGCAAATGGCCAACGCTATTTTAATGAGCTCCCCAACATTTTGACATGTTTGCAACCTCACTTGGCTTTCGACTGAGCAAGACAAATACAGTGAAACCAAGAAAAGGTAAGTTTCAGATTTTTTTTAGCAAAAGACAAAATAATTAGTTATTGGTTTGTTTCTGGATTCTTTTTTTTGAAATACTTTTACAGATTTTAAAGGATTAATTCAAATAGTTTTTAAAGGAACTGATTAATTGTTAAATGTATTTTAAAAAATTATGACACTTTTTAAACTTTTTTATTTAATTGGCCAATGCAATTTAAATTTGAAAAACAGGAAAAATCTAAAACAATAATTCATTTTATTGGGTTTCAAATTATTAAATTATTTTATAACAAAGAACAAATGCCATTTACATATGTTTGTGGCTTATGTCTGGTGTAGTCTGAAAAAAATATATTGAAAAATTCTTTGTATGTTTGTAGGTGTTACATATAAATACAATATTAATCTTATAAGGAAGTAAGTAAAAACCTATATAATTGCAGTTGCTAACGGATCTTTACTGTAGCTGTGTGGCTGCCTGCTTGCATTTGTGTGTGTACATTTGTGCTTGTCCTTGCGCTGCTTTCGAAAAGGCTGACAAAATGCAAATGCACGCGCGATGTGCGCATTTTAGCATAAAAGTCACCTGGCCTCCGTTTCCGCCTCCTTTTCCTTATTTTCCGCCTGCCACGCCCACTGCCGCTTGACGTTCCTCGCGTACTTGGGGAAATATCTGCTCATTATGCATTCATATTTCATATTTCGCAATTACTTGCACACACACACACAAAGGAACGGGCGGTAAAAAGCGCAAAAGGCGCAAAAGAGATGGCCATAACAGCAGCAAACCGTTAAGTTGCTGTCAACGTTGTATGTATGTATGTGTCTGTATCCTTCTCGTTTGCTTGCCTTCAGCTTTTCTTTCTTTTTTCCATTTTTTATCGACTCTTTTTTGCTCCCTATTTATTTTTTTGGACCATATTTTGCACAGATTCCCATTGAAATTTCCATATTCACATTTTAATTATGCGTTGGCATGAAAAGATTAACAACTTTTTCAGCCAAGATATTGTGCATGTTGGTGCTGCCTTTTTGTGCGTTTTATGCTTTTCATTTTGCTTTTAATTATGCATATGTATTTGTTTATTAAAACGCAGTGGCAAGAGGTAGCCAACATAACCTTTTTTTCTAGAGGTTATAACTGATGGCCAATATAACCTCACCTTAGGTAAAATAAAGATTTTATCCGCTTGCTAAAAAGAGAGATTATGTTGGCAAGCCACTTATGCAAATCAACTTCAGCTATTGATACCAATCCAGAATTAACCCACAAATCTGCTGCGACAAGTGCAAAAACCCGAATTCCCCTTTGGCACTTCAATTAGACGCGATAAAAGCGTCTAATTAACAAGGGTGGCAAGATAAAGGGAAAACATGGTCCAGCCCAATTACAGTTAAACATCCCTAAGTGAAATAAATCTTTATTACAGTTTCCCATTATATTTCAAATAAACTAGTTCTTAAAAAAATACTCCAAAACTATGAATCTCATAAGTATATTCTTATATGTAAAACCAATTTTCAAGATTTGATTATTTGCGATCTCTGAAGAAATCTTTTTCATAAAATAATAATTAGCTAAAGCTAAAGTTTTGTGTTTATGTAAAGATCACTTAAAATTAAATGATTAAAATATAATATTTCACATAAATATATCAATAAATAATAAGAATACTTTTTAAACCCTTGCAGAGGGTATTGCGATCTCTGATACAAATCTTTTTCATAAAATAATAATTTTTAATTAAGTTAAAATCGGAGATCTATATCATATAGTTTCCAAAAAAAAACTCAAAAAATCAAAAAAAATATATATGAACATCGGCTTGCCGAAGTTTGCTTACATTCTTGTGTGTTACCATCTTATGAATGTAAAATTGTAAATGATATTGTAAAATGGAAATTTTGACCAACAAGACTACATTCAGTTTAACTGTAGATTTCCGAACCAATCGTATTAGGGATGTACAACTGTGGTAATAAATACTAACAATCATATCGGGTTCACTTCGATGGCGATGATAATAATCATAGCCCATGATGATGATGACAAGTGCCGAGCAGCTACCCTTTAATTTATGGGGTGGATCGACCTGATGAGACCCTTGTGTGCGGTGTTTGTAGCCGTTCTGTGCATTTTACGCCTAATTTAAGGCAAATTGTTGACATGAATATGTACACGAAGCCCACCCCCTTTTCAGTCAACACTTTTCCAGACCCCCCCCCCCAACCCAACTTATTTTCCATTTTTTCGGGTTTTGTGGCCGCGGGGCCTGACAAAAGCCAACAGATTTTCATGTCATTATGCGCTGATTTGTGCCGTTTGAATAGGAATCGGGTTTTGGGTTTTAGATTCAGGCTCGGATTTGAATTCTACCACCACCACCCCCCACCCCTCCATTTAAGGCGGCTTACTTTTTGTTTGCTAATGAAGTTGTTGTTTACACAGACGCCAAGTATGAGGTATGCAAATGATAGCCAGAGTGCAAGTGAAATCAGACCCTATCCACCCACAAATTAAGACAAACTTTTGTCATCTGAGAAATGGCCCCTTTGTGTCGAGACTGGGAAATTGGAGAATCTCTCGATAAGAATTTGAGATGTCTGTGATGATTTAAGGGAATTGATATAATTGATTATTTTATTTAGAACTCGTATAATAACAAATAATATTTGTATACGTTTTAATTCTTGGCACATTCCATTGGATCTAATTTTCTCATTTTTTAAGGGTTCTGATTACACTGCAACTTAAAATTATGAATCAAGTGACAGGTTTGTTTTAAATATAAACGGTTTAAAAATGTAGATTAGTCTTGCATAAGCATTGCTAAGCTCAAACATAGTCTTTCCAAAACTTTAATTCAATCAAACTTTAAATATATAAACACGAGTAGATGCAATTAAAAGTGAAACAAAAGTCAAATGATTATGAATTAACATAATTTTAGATAAATAATTTCCTTGTCTATCAGGAGAGTTTGTATTTGCTTAAATCAAGGCACTCCTCATAAAGCGATGACAATCATAATCTCTTAATTATCTTGCTAAAAAGCACTGAAGATGAGATGCTTGGGAAAACTTAAAGCATTTTTAACGATAAAATGTTTCATAAATGTCTTTGCGCTTATTAATAAATTTTTTTTGGCTAAGAATATGTTCCTAATTAAACTAAAAAGGCACCATGTAAAAGAACTAGATAAAGCATTGCTTAAATACAAATGGGAACCATTTGTTAAGGATGAAGTTCATTGTAAGCATCATAATATATCACAATAACAATTTACTCTTAAAACTGTTAGAAAAAAGATTTCTTGTTCGTTTAATTTTTTACTTAGACTTTTAAATTATGTTAAAATTTATCACATGTAAAATGATCTGAACCTCTGGTGAGTTTTTCAATAGCTTACAACAAGCATGCATTAATCTATTATCTAATTGCACTTATTTTATTCCACTCACTGATCCATTATTCGCTTGTCTAACAGATTGCAACTGATCGGTGAAACCAGGCCCAGACTTTCCCTTGGACTTTGGGCCAGAGCCAACCTGTTTGGCTCGGTTTGGGTTCGGAACAGTGAGCGATCCCATCGCGGGTTCGATGTCCACACAATGGGACACAATGCGGCAATTAGGGATAAAGATGCCAGATAGCGATGTAGATGTGGTTGTGGATGTGGGATAAGGACAAATAAACAAGTGTGGCACGGCCCGCGGCACAAACACAATTTGTGACAATTTTCCAACCGGATAATGACAAACATTTTAATCACAAAATGAAACTGGAGGCTGAAACCACCACCAATGGCAGTGGCAATAGCAGTAGCAGTAGCAGGATAACACACAAATTTTCACACAATATGGCAAACATCTCCGAGCCTCCGAGTCCTTCGTGTCCGCCCCTTCCCCTCAACCGGAAGTCAAGTGTGTCGAGTCCTCTGTGTCCTGCCCATCCACGATGATATAATCGCCCCCCATCACAATCATTATGTCGAGTTGCCGCTGCGGTTGCCCGGATTTCACTCCCCTTTTTTCTGCCCTCCGGCTGGGCCACAGCGGGCAAAAATTTAAATCGAAATTGGTATATAATGCGACGGAGTAACTTTCAGTTCCTCCCCTTTATATATATAAAGTCAAGTGCCTTCGGAGGCAACTTTATCATTTTAAAATACTTATGCGCGGCTTAAAATAATCAAGACAAATTTCTGCAAGTCTTAAAATACAATTTATGCAAGGTTAAGTTAGGTTCATTTATTTATTTTGGTGTTAGAAAATATTTTAAGAAGTAAATCTAGCATTAAAGGTCATATATGTAATAAAAACAGGCCTGGATATAACCATAAAATCTAATAATCCAAAATATTTACTTATGGAAAGTTTTTGTCAAGATTGCCAAGTAACAATAATCGGGTGGTGGCTAAATATTAATTTTAACTAGTTAAAATGTTGTTTATTTTTATATGGATAAATTAAACTTACCTAATTGATTATCTTTCAATAAGAATGAAATGTAACAGCTTTTAATTTTTTAACACTGTGTAAATAACAAAATTTCATATATTTTCGTGTAAAGTGTTTTTCTTATTTTTAGCACTAATGCTATTAAACTATTTTCATCTAATGTAAATTTAAGAATATAATAAATATTTATTTCTTTAACGTTAACGTTTGTTAAAATGAAAAATAAACGTTCGCACAAAGCATTAGGCAAGTAATCTGGCGCAGAAAAGTATAATACATTTTTTTGCATTGGGATCTCCGACATGTGACTTTCGTCCGTTGTTTTTTGGAGCAGCAAATTAGGCAAACTATTTTCATATTTTTCAGCCTGGATGCACGCAAAAGCCAAGAACTAACTTTCCTCCCCTTTTCTCCGCAAGTTCTTTCCTTTTTAATTGCAAAGTTGGCAAATGCCGAGAGCTTAATGCAATTAATAACTCATTAAATAAATACAAATCAAAGTGGATGGCCAGCTCAAAGGGAACGAGGCGGAGAAAGTGGAGCCTTTGTGCTCAAAGGATGGCTGCGTAAAATGTACCAATTAAAAATGCAATTCAGAACTCAATGGCTGCGCAAATGAACCGCATGAATGTGAGAATTTGCGAAAAGATGTGAAAGAGCCAGAAAATGTGAATCTATCTGCTGCAAGTGGCTGCGGCTGAGTGATGGGGGTTAGCTGCATTTTATTCATTAAATTACATTCACATTTCATAGACGATTTCATGAAAGCGTTAACTCGCTTTTTTCGCCATCCCTTTCCATTTCTGTTTCCAGTTGTATTTGTATTTGCATTTCCATTTACATTTTCCATTCTGCCATTTTTCTGTATTTTTTTCCGCTCTTCTTTGGCTTTTCCGTTTGTTTCCGGCGGATCCCGTCAAGTGTCTTTTTAATTAGCGTTCTGTGCCGCTCTGCACCACCACTCGAAAACTACTCTGAACGTTAGATATCCCCCTCCCCGCTCGTCTGTCCCTATATCCTTCTATATCCTCCATGGGCATATCCCTCTGGCCTCCTCTCTCTCGCTCGTTAACTCACTCACCGCAGATTCAATTTGTGGCTAAACATTCCTCCTCCTTTTTGTGTAGCGAGCTAAATGGGCATGAAAATATAACTGTAACTACAGAAGGACCTCTAAAGGGCAAACTGCGATAGCTTACAACCCTTGCCTTTAGATATATGTACAAGTGTATTTTTTTTTGCAAATTTGTTCTGGTCAATTGATTTATTAGATGTATAAGTACCAGTATGTATTGAAGTCATAGCTACAACTAGTTAAAAGTTTAATTCTAAGAGATTCATGTTAATTGTTGCATGTCTTTTGTTGCTTGTCGTTGCTATTGCTCATTGTTTTTTTTATTATTGCTATTATTTTTTGTGCATTGTGGAATGTTTATTTTTGACTATTTATAGTTTAATTTTTTGTAATATTATTTATTTCTAAACGTAGAACCCGTACAATCTTTAAGTATATAGTTTAATAGTTTTATTTTTGAATAGTAAAGCATCTTAACTACTTCGTTATTTGCAAGTAATCCGGCGCTGAAAAGTATAATACATTTTTTTTTTGCATTAGGCGATGTTGACTGTATATGACGTCGCTGCCACGTTCTCAGTCGCCGCCTCTGCCGCCCCAAAGCACTGTTGCCATCCCTTTCTGGCGCACGCCCCCGCTCATGCGCGCTCTGCGCTCCGTTGGCCCGTTATAATTGCAGGCAGAGTTGTTGCTTGTTTTCCGGTTGGCTGCTTTATCCTCATTCCTGCTCTCTCTTTGCCTCTATCTCTCTATCTCTCTCTTACTCTTTGATCCCCATGCAAATAATATATGAATCGAGATCGAGTGGGGGTCTATATACAGATAGATGAGATATCCTGCCAGTGGGTGGCCATATGTCGCGGATTATTTGCTATATAGCGACAAATTGATAACGTTTTGTGCGATTCGCTCAAGTTGATTTTCAAGCATGACTCACAGCTCAGCGATTGCAGATGGGCGAGCGGCATTTAACCGTTACGTTGCGTTATGTTCGTCCTTTCCTTTGTGCAGTAATGAATTCAATGTAGAAATTTTATGCAAATCTGATAGGGATATCTCAGACTGACCAATAGTTTGATTTAATTGACGAATAATTTAAAAACGATTATAAAGTTTCTGTTTACAACAATTTTTTTAATTATTATTAATATTAATTTAAAACAAATAACTTTATTGCAATTGAATTCTTTGCAGTTTTTAAAAAAATACGGTAAACAATAAACAAAGGAGAGCGATATTTTGTAATAAATGTATTCAGTGCCAAATATTTGCAATAAACTATGTTTTAAAATTAATAAATCATAATTTTTTTAAATATATGCAATCACAATATTTTACCCATATCCAATTGAATAAATCAAGTGCCATAATGTATAACTTAAATGTATTTATCCACCCACCCAAGTTAAAACGCCCCAAAACGTGCAATTAAGTTTTTATTCTGGCAAAAAAAATATTTGTTCATAGAGTGCGACGAAAAAAAAGGTTTGGTTGTTATTGTATATTACAGTTAATTCGACTAAGCTTAGTTTATGATTATCGTTTAGTACGTATAATAATAATATCGGGTACATATGGTAAACACGAGCTCATCGCTGCTTTATTTCAATAATTCACCCCGATCGGTTATTGCACAAGAACTGTTATCTTTATACGTATTATGTATTTACATAGGCAACTGGGAGGTGGAGGAGTGGGGGCTGGGATGGTGGGCGTGGCTCCTACATGGGGCATCCGTGGACATAGCCAACGTTCCGGAAAATTGCCGCCGCTGCGGCGGAAGTGAGAAAATTGCACGGATTGCTGGCAGCCGCTGCAGCGGCAGCAGCGGCGCTAAACGAACTGCTCAATCCGCTGGGACAGCAGCCCAATCCGCCCGCTCCGCCCCCGTCTTGCACCACAAAATCCTTTTCCATGGTCGCCTGATGACGCAGCTGTTCCAGGCGCAGTTGGTTCTGACGCTTCCACTTGGTCCTGCAAACGAAAAACACAAATTGATCGATTAGTTGGCGTTTGAAAATTGTTACGATCGGGAAAGGATTATTCCAAAAACTAAGACATAAGTATGTATAAAAAAGATATCGAATTCAATTAACTGTTTCATAATAAATTTGAAACTCTTAGCCTATTTTCATATTCGTTCGAAATCCAATTCTAAAACTAGAAACAAGGCAACACTGCGTATGAGTGATAAAATGTTCATATATGTATCAAATTTAATTAAATGTTTCACAATAAATTGGAAACTCAAAGCCTATTTTCATATTCGTTCGGAATCAAATTCTAAAACTAGAAACAAAGCAACACTGCGTATGAGTGATATGTGTTAACAGCGCATTATCTTTGGTAGGTAGCGTTTAAAGTCTTTTTGAACTGAGTTTTTTGTTATTTTGTAACTCTTTTTATTAATAATACTATTTAGATCACTGCCCCTAACAAGTCAAGAGTGAGAACTACTTTTTTTTAAAATATGTTTAATTATTGAACAATGTTGAAATTTAGCTTACTAGGCACAAAATTTAAATATTTCATTTTGGACTCACCTTCGGTTCTGGTACCAGGTCTTAACCTGCGTCTCCGACAGATTGAGCGTTTCAGCCACGTCGCTGCGATCGGCCACGCTCAGGTATTTCTGGCAGCGGAACTTGCGCTCCAGGTAGGCGAGCTGGGCGTGGGTAAAGGCGGTTCGGCGGCGTCTCGGCTTCCGGCCGCTCTTGCTCAGCTGCAGCTTGTGCTCCGCATAGCCGCCGCCAGCTCCGCCGCCCGATCCTGGCCCACTGGATCCATTGGGATCCCCACCACTTGCTGCCGCTGCCAAGAGACCAGCGGCCACGCCCGCCGCCGCCGCTGCTGCACTCAGTCCGCTGGGGACTCCGCCGCCGCCACCTCCGCCTCCTCCCGATCCGGATCCGGATCCTGGGCCCCGGGTGGCCGATAGGCAGGACTCCACACTAGAGTCGTCGTGGTGGGTGAATCTGCGGTGGTGGTGCGACAGCAGCAGATCCTGCTGGCATCCATGTGCCGTCGAGTCCGGCGTGGATCGGTCCTCGATGTCTATATCCGATTCATCGTTGGAGAGCTCGAGTTCTGAGCATAAAAAAAGAATTTAAAAGATAGTTTAAAACCTGAATATGGAAAATACATTATAACACAAACTTAAAATAGAATCTAGAAATCTGCGTTTTAAACTTGGGATGTATTTTTAGTTTGATTTTTCGTCATTTCTATAATGTTCAAATTTTCAAAAACTGGCTTTCCAGAAAAGTGACCAAAAACCTGCACTTCTAAGCCCATAACTTTTTGTACAGACATCCGATTTCAAAATGGCATGCTTCTAAATGATCGTGGTTTAATTCTCTAAAAAACTGTGTTTTCAGTTTGATTTTTATTTTTGGGTCGATTTTTAGTCATTTCTGCGATGTGAAAACTGGCTTTCCAGAAACGTCACCAAAAAACCCCACTTCTAAGCCCATTACTTTTTGTACAGACATCCGATTTCAAAATGGCATACTTCTAAATGATCGTGTTTTAATTCTCTAAAAAACTGTGTTTTCAGTTTGATTTGTATTTTTTGGTCGATTTTCCGTCATTTCTACGATGTAACCCCTTTCAAAATTTTCGAAAACTGGCTTTCTAGAAAAGTGACCAAAAACCTGCACTTCTAAGCCCATAACTTTTTGTACAGACATCCGATTTCAAAATGGCATGCTTCTAAATGATCGTGGTTTAATTCTCTAAAAAAACTGTGTTTTCAGTTTGATTTGTATTTTTTGGTCGATTTTCCGTCATTTCTACGATGTAACCCCTTTCAAAATTTTCGAAAACTGGCTTTCTAGAAAAGTGACCAAAAACCTGCACTTCTAAGCCCATAACTTTTTGTACAGACATCCGATTTCAAAATGGCATACTTCTAAATGATCGTGGTCTAATTCTCTAAAAAACTGTGTTTTCAGTTTGATTTTTATTTTTTGGTCGATTTTCCGTCATTTTTACGATGTAACCCCTTTCCAAATTTTCGAAAACTGGCTTTCTAGAAAAGTGACCAAAAACCTGCACTTCTAAGCCCATAACTTTTTGTACAGACATCCGATTTCAAAATGGCATGCTTCTAAATGATCGTGGTTTAATTCTCTAAAAAACTGTGTTTTCAGTTTGATTTGTATTTTTGGGTCGAGTTTTCGTCACTTTCAATGATGTTTCCAAATTTTCAAAAAATGGGTTTGCGGAAAAGTGCCATAACTTTTCGTACTGACATCTCAAAAATTTGCAAGGCATCTGCTGGTATATATATAAACTTCGGCTTGCCAACGTTTGCTTCCTCTCTTGTTATCAATTGAAGTACACTGGCGAGAAGGGTGGGAAAATGTAAGTAAATGAGCATATATAAAAATAATTTTTTTTAGCGACTCAATGCCATTGATTGACCACTTGAGAGGGATTTAATGCATTGGAGAGTATTGTTAAGTGGGCGGTAAAGTAAAGACACTAGCATTGAGACACTGTTGCCTGCTTTCAGGCGCAGCGTGGCGTTAATGCTTCCAGTTCGTCCTGTTCTTCTTCCTCTTCTGCAGCGCGTGCAGCCACTTCCGGTCGAGGAGCGACGCGGGAAACTCATTACCGTCCGCATCCGGCAATAGACAACGCTTCGAATAGAATCGGATGGGCGAATCAAGTGGGCGTTGGTCCATTACCATGACAGGACGGCGAATCGGATGAGTTGCAATTTGCAGCAATCAACGTGTTATTTATATCCGCCCCATATATTCTTATCCCGTTCCAGGAACTCGCATTCGCATTCGCAAACGGAAACCCAAACCAAAATAGGACTCCGTATCGGACGCTGCGGGCTGCCTGATTAAATTCACGTGTCGTCGAGCTCTCAATTGTTTCCTATTGGAATTTACAACGTCTGCCTCGTGTTGCACTGAGATAAAGTTAAGTCTACGGTTCTTTTTATCATTTCGTAGGACAATATATATGTACATACATATAATAATACGCCAATAATGCTAAATTCATAAAAAAAAAAAATTCTAAATTTTAATTTTTATATATTTAAAAAGTATTTCGTAGTGAAACCTTTATTGAAGGTCCGGCCACTTCCACCCTATACTAAATATTATTATTTATATTTCCTATTAAAAAAGTATTTTTTAAATATTTAAGTTAGGAATAAAAAAAAATATTGTTGTTATTTTGTATTATTTTGAAACTACATAAATTTTTTTATAATAAAAAAGACAATATATACTATTGCACTGAACCTGGCTATTCCTCAATCAATTAAGTTTCGTACTTGCACCTTTAAAACTTTGCACTATGATTTTTCTCAGTGAAGTTTGCTTAATACAATACTCAAGTCTTTGACAGAACATCATCTTCGATTCTCGATTCTACGAATCTGAGCGGCCGCCGCAGGCGCTCACGTGTGTCCGCTCAGCAAGGATTCTTTTTTGTTTCATACTTTCCGCCCACTTTTCGAGTTCAGTTGGCGGGCGGAAATAATTTGTATATTTGTGTACTTTAACCCCAAATGGGTTTTGACTTCTGATTCTATTTATAGCGATTTGCGCAGACAGGACGGAAGGGTAGATGGTGGATATATGAAAGGTTATTCAATTATGCGTGTGTGTGTGGTTGTGTGGATATCCTGGGGAGCGTCTCGAGTGAGTTCTTTCTTTTTCCTCGAAAAGTCACGTCGTATCAATTTGCGGCACAATTGCCATTTAATAGGCACTTGAACTGTGAGACACACATAAAAAGAACGGAGATAGACGGAGAAATTAAAGGAGAATGTGGGAGAAATGTACTCGCATGTGTCGGCAATTTAGACAGGATTAAGAATAACATATGTCAGTCCTCAAAGCTTAAGCTCGAAATAAGAAAAAAAATCGAAAAACTCTATATTTTAAAAAAAATTTGATTGTTAGCAATTTCATTTCTATAATAATTTGAATCTTATGTAAGAAAATAAATAATGAATTATTTTCAAAATTGATATTGTTTATAATAATATAAATTTAGTTGATTGATTAAAACATTTTTGTTTTAATAGTGGTATTAATTTTTAGAATATTTAAAACATTTTACGGAACGAATTGTAAGTTATAAAATAAAATTTCTTTAATGAATTTAAAGGGCAATTTTGAATTTAATTTTGAGTGTGCACAGTTTGAACCAATTAATGAATGTAATAAATATGTAATAAAAATTAATTTAATGAGTATTAATTCTTAAAAATATAACTTCGCTACATATTACCTCTTTTCTCTCCGCTTGAATTTAAGGAAAAATCTAAACTCGGAAAGCACTTGCAGTAAAAGTTTCACTTTCTTCGTCTAACTGACAGCAATTAGCCTCTAAATAGTTGTAATTGCTGAGCTAAACTTTATTTAATGTCATGCATAATTAGAAGAGAACACATGGCCAAACCATGCAGTTGGCTCAAACCAAAAACAAAGCATAAGTAAGCGGCCACCTGAGGCGATACACTTAGAAAAAAACAATAATAATAAAAGAGGTTAAAAAATGAGGATTTTTTTGCAAACATTTTTTTGATCACATGAGCAGGTTATAAAATATTCGAAGTTTCCTTAACAATACAACATATAAATATAAGTCTATGAGTTTGTTTTAACTCTGAAATTTCAGTGCACTTGTGCGTGGGTGCGAAAGCATTTGTCAATGCTGAGTTTTCAGTTAGAATCTCAGTCCCATTTCCATCCCCCAGTTTTCCCTTTCGGTTTCTGCTCCCCTGGCTAAAAACAATTAAAGTGTTCGTACGTGACAAATTGCTCGAGCGCAGGTTACGAACAAAGCAGTGTCAACAGCAACAAAAATAAAATTAACTGAAAGTCACACACAAAAAAAAGGGATATATTTAAATTTAAATAGTATATATGAATTGAAAAGTAATAAAATAATTGCTGGCAAATTTCAAAGAAAATTTAAAATGGTAAATAGTTATTTTTCACTTCTTTTTACACTGCTTTTGTGTGCAGTATCAATTTTATAATATTTCAAAAATGTTTTATCACAATATGTTATTTTTCTTTTATTTATTATCGAAACTAATTTGCATTTGTATTAAATCTAGACCATGTAAAAAATTATTAATAACAAATATAAATGCTATTGCTTTTTAAATATATATCTAAATATATATCTAGCCTAGATATTAAAGTAAAAACAAACTGTTTTACTTTTGGCGCAAGTAAGCAGTGCACAATTAAATAACTTCCCAAAGCGCTTGTTATTGTTGTTTCAACTCTATTCATCTCGCTCGCCCATTTTTCCCTCTCACTTGCTCCTCCTCCCACCTCCCTTGCTAAAAGTTTTGTTTGCGATAATTGAGCGAAGTGTGAGATTTAAATGCCACAGGCTGTCACCAAAAAAAGGGAGGGGGACTTGGGGGCGGTTGAAGTCGAGAGTGAGCAAGGTAATTTGTCAACGGTTTTAACCAAAAAAACCCCCCGACACCCAACAAAAAACATCAAAGAAGGGGAGAGAAGAACAAAGAGCAGGCTAATTGGCCAACAAAGACGTTTAGTATATACGGAATGTTAGGTTATGTTTGGTGGGACGTCTGATACACTCCGGTTATTAACTACTGAGGTTTCAATCTTTTGGAAACAAAGAATACAGTGTATTTCCTAACCTAGAGACAAGCTATGCTAACATCTTTTACATACATTTTGAGATGATAATGCAAAAGTTTTCTTTTATTTATTCGTACTTTAGTCTAGAATGTTAGAACTGGATATAATATAACTAAGCTTTTAAAGTTCTGATATATTTGTGTCCTGAATTGGAAAATCAACAAAACTATGAAATTTAATACATATTAGTAATTGTATTGAGTAATAATAGGAAAACAAAGCTTAAACAATTTAAATGACTGTTAAAGATCTCTATCCGCTATTACACTTTTTTATTGCCAATTATTAATTTAAAACTTGTTATATCTCGTTACATGTAAAATAACCAAAAATGACTTTTGAAGGATCAGCCTCCCGTATTTTAATAAATCTAAAATCTTGATATCTTTCTTAAATATGTATGTTTAAAATGTATGTTTTAAATTCATAATCTAATGATTAAAATTGTAAACAATATTTCCCTTTAAAACAAACTTGAAAACTGGTCTGGAAACATACCCGAATCCGTTTGTCGTCGATTGATCAAATCGCCCAGGAGATCACGTATCAAAAAAGATTTCGAACTCTGCATTTTAATGCTTTAATACGATTTAAAAACAGTTTTAGGCCAGGTTTTGCTTTATTTGCTGCATTTTAAAAACTTTGCACTTGAAACTCCGTTTAACAATAACAAAAATCGGTAAATTTGTGGGTTTTTTTGTGTAATAATTTTGTATGTTTATTTGAACTATTTTAATTGGATTTCGTTTTTGTCCTTATAACATTTTCCGTCGGAAGTGGTGTACAAATTTAGTGATTATCCATGGACCAGGATCTCTTCAGCTCGTAATCAAATTTTCCAGGACGAAGCACACACACACTTATATATACGGCAGAAGTAAATGCAACTGAACCGCTAAGCGCCGAGTCAAATGAACAACTGAAATGCGAAACGCCGAACGTTTATTAATCCTTTTAGCGAACATCGCCAGGATTCACCCTCGCCACACAGACACACACACATACACCCACACACACATGGAGAAAGGCAAGTGAATTACGCGGATTTGTTGCTGTAAACGGGACAGTTTAGCGCCCACGTCGACGTCGACGTCGGCAGCGGAAAAATGCAAAAAAATATTGCTACAAAAAGGAAACTTTTGCAATGGCCGCTGCCATTTAACCGTTATTTAATCAGTTGCCTTAGACGCAGCACAATCCTGCCATCCCGCTTGCACACAGACTTCCGCTGTTCCGTTAGCCATTTTGTTTACCGTCAGTCGCGAGGAGAGCAGATAGCATCAGCTAGTTATTTCCCTCTTGGCACAGGGTTGCCGCCACGCCATTGGCTGTCATTGGGGTTTTTTGACATCTACCCCTAATGTCCAGGGTAAAAAAAAAGCAACCCTTAATTTTTTCCTTACTCCGTCAGTCGTTCAAAATCTCTGGCAGTGGCTGGTACTACGACCTCTGGATCGGATTAAAGTTGTATGGAAAAAGTTCAAATACTCTCCTGACGAATCGCCGTCGGTAAGTTATAGTCCTGACTAATAGGATGTACTTAGATACCGTTTATACAAAGCCCTTTTTGTATCTGTTAAAGGTCCATTCTTTCAGATATATTCTAACATCCTCAGCCTCCATCAATACAATATAAATCGTTTGTGGTTCTTACACTGCGTTTTAGGTTTTTGTGTTTTTGATTAAAATTAAAAATATTTCGTACAAATGTCAATTTTACTTTGTTGATGACGCACAATTTCGAATTTTCATTATTAGGCTCTTAGCAATTACATATTACCCATTACATTTACCTGAGATTGTAAATAAAACTAAGACTTTTAAGATTATTTTTTTTAATCTAAATTTTCAGTGAATACATGCACCATTAAAATGAATTCAGCAATAGCTACTATAATCTAGGACAAAATATTTTTTAGGCTTTATATATGTTTGCAAATATTTGTAAGTCAATTTACGTGATATCACGTTTGTTCACTCCAGATGTCAGCGCTCACTGGGCTTAACTACAACTAACTCTAATCCTACATAAATGGAAATGCGACTTTCAGTTTTGGGACTCATGGATTAGGTCTAGGGCACTAATAGCTGCTCCCAGGAGATGAATGGAGCCGGTGACGAGCACCTCCAGCTGTCCACCGGGAAATCTACGCCGGACGTCGGTAAAGGCGTCCATTAACGTGTCATATGCCTGACCCTCATCTCTCTGCTGTTCCTTTGCGCAGAGGTCACTCCATGCCTTGGCAATGACCCGAGCCCGCTTCAATTGTATTTCTGCACTAAAGCGCACGGTCACCTGGCTGGGAGCGTTTGGCGTGGAGGTGATCAAATTGGGCACAAAGCAAACCATGTCGAAGGCACAGCTCCGATTCAAAAGTTCCAGCAGTTCTCCAAAACCGGATTCTCCGGTGCGATTAAAGATCAGGATCTTTGGATTCACACTGAAAGAGCAAAATCAAAAATTTACAAAGGTTTGAGTTTATAAATTCCACGAAAAGCTATACCTACTTATAAATATAATAAAAACAAAACAAGAAAGAAAGCAAAATGCGGCAAGCCAAAGTTTATCTACCCTTGCAGCTATTAAAAAAATGCAACATGCTTAATAACATATCGATTTGTATGCATATGTTATTAAAAACAAAGAAGTTTTGTCGATTTTCTGTTAAATTTTTGTTTCGCTTCTAAGACATCTATACGATATAGTTGCATTTAGTATAACAAACCTTGAAAAACATCGGAGCTATGTTCCTATTCATTTTTAGATCTTTCCTATGGCATTTATGATGTAGTCGACCAATTTTTTTGTTTTTACAGACAAGCTTTAGTCGTGTATTAATTGCCTGCACGTTAATTACGATTGCCTGTTAGCTAGTCTAAAACAATATTTTTTGTTTGTTTTAAATAAGTTTTCATTATTTGTGGCGTTCAGTTTGGATTTTGAAAAAATCAGATCAGTTGAATGAGTACATCAGCTTGAATAATTTAAATATTTTATCGACACAAAACTAATCAAATAAAGAAAATGACAAGCAACGAACTGTAAGGTTTATTATCTAAAGGTTTTTTTTTTTAATTTGTATCTTTGCATTTTCTTAAAAATGAATTGGTGTCTTACAAAATCAAATAAAACACCGATATGAGGACCAAAATATTGTACTGTTTTTAAGTTAACAACAAACTTTATGACAATAATATTGGCTATAAGTCCCTGACAAAGCTCAATCCTCAAAGGACCTCTACACACCTGTCTCGCACACTCTTTTCGAACCAGTCCGTGCAGACGGCCATGCTCTCCAGGGTGTGAGCTCCGTCCAAATGGAGCCGCATTCCCTGCCACGCGACCAGCTGACACCGACCTGGCCAGTGGGCGCTGATCAGTCCATGCAGCAACTGCGGATCCATCCTGACCTCGTTGACGGCGTGCTCTTGTCGCAGTGGTTCCCTCGCCTGGGATAGCCAATCTCCGGCCAGCTGAATGGCCAGGGAGCCATTCAATCGAATCACATCGCTGAGGATGTCCCAAACTCCAGCATACGCATCCGATCGAAAGTAGTCCTCCGTGGGCGACACTTCGTAGAGGGTGGCGCCGTGATCCTTTGTCCGCTGGCGAATCACCTGCAGGCACTCCGGTTGACTGACATGGGTGAAGACATGCGATCCCGGCTTGATGACGCCCGCCTTCTGCCAGGCGATCTCCGGCAGCGTGCTGCCCAACAGCTCCGTGTGCTCCAGTCCCAGCGATGTGATGCCCACCGTACGTACATTCCTCACGATATTTGTGCAGTCGTGCTCACCGCCGATGCCCACCTCCAAAATGGCCACATCCACCTTCTCCGCCACGAATACATGAAATGCCATGATGGTCAGGAACTTGAAATAGGCAGGCATGTCGCCATCGTGCTCCCGCTTATCCCACAGTCGGTTGTAGACCTTCCAGAACTGCTCCGTGAACTTATCCTTGGCCAACAGCTGGCCATCGATGCGGATCCGCTCGTTGGTGAACATGATGTGCGGGGAACTGAAGAATCCCGTGCGGACGCCTTGATGGCGCAGCAGAGATTCGGTCAAGGCGCATGTTGATCCCTAAAATGTACAATTTAAAAATTATGTTTACTATTTAATAACTATGCATTGCTATATTCATAGAACTGTAATTCAATATTTGAACAGTCCTAAGATATTAAAAATATATATCTTGTCGCCAACGTAGACATAAATATTTGTAATCGGGGTCATAAAATAAATGGAATTTGAAAATAAGAAAATGATCGAAACATCATAATTTTAAAAAATATATAAATCAGTAATATAAATATAAAAATATTAAACCGAAATTACTTCCAATGGGCCATAAAAATGACTAAAAACCTTTTTGACAATTTTAAGTAAATAAGAAATATATTAAGTGATCCGCAGGTAATATCAATATAATAATTAGTATTGGAGTCTACCAATGAAAATCCATTTAAAGAGTTAAGAGCCAACTTATCAGAATTGGAATCCACTTGGGCAACGATTTTATCTGATTAGCTATCTATGGACGTGTCCTATTAACAGTAGAAAAACGTGCAAATAAAATGTGAGGGAGTCAAAGCTTGATTTATGAGCAATTCGAAACTAGAAATAACTGGAAAGAATTGTTATAACATAAAGCAGCGTACGGCAATTTGGTATTTGATACTCTTTAAACATAAAATTGCAAGCTCATGTCGACAACACGGTATGTACTATCAGTAAGTAGATAATGGGTTTAATCGCAGTTATGTTATGTTTTATCAGCATAAAGTTTACAAATGTCTGATAACAAATTTAAAAATTGCCATATTAACATTTTACAAAATTAATTTGTGGCTATTTCCCCAACACTGAGTATACCCAATTTTTAAGCGAGGGTAGCAAAGACCACAACGGATCCATCAATAACAAAAAATATCAAATTTGAAGCCAAACAAATCTTATCAGCAAGTGAGCGATTAGCGACCTCGTCCAAGAGAGCGAATTTACTGATTGGATGAGAGAGACGTTAGCCTACTGAGAGGGCAATGCGCGGTTGATTAGCCTAATTAGAAACCAGCTGATGTTGGATAACAAGTGGAGCATGAAGGAAAACTCATAAGCTGAAACCAAAAAAAAAGCATAACACAGAAAAAAAACAACACACGAAAACAGGTTAAATATCGTCTGCTGACCTTGCCCTTGGTACCGGCCACATGGATGAAGGACAGCCGCTCGACGGTTTCAAGCGGCAGACCGCTCCGCTCCAGATATTTAACGGTATCCTCCTTAGTATTAACGCGATCACTTTTTATCGAGTTCCTTATAGCAGCATCGTTTGACTGCAGGGAGTTTAGCCGCTTTATGGCCTCCTGGAAATAGTTAGAAAGCGAGATTTAAAAACTATCTTTACAGACAAGAAACAAATGCATATTTGTGACGATTTGGATAGGTTTTTGTTAAAAATCCTAGTACTCAGATCAACGAAAAACATACCCGAAAATTACATAGCATTGCCAGCCTCCTGAAATAAACTCTGGGTGAACTTTCGTAATCTTTTGAAGTGTCTGTTGTGTTTCTTGGTATATTGATATTGACATTGATATAATTATGCATTGCTCAAAATTAAAGGAGACACTGATACAGTATCCCATAGATAAACTTAGCAGAAACGTAAAAAATGGCGCCCGAGCAGGGACTTTAAATAACTTGTGAATTAATAATAATGGACGAAAAATCGTTGGGAAGAACTTTATCCAGCTATTCAAATTGTTATTGGTAAATTAAAAAAACCAACCGTTAAATGTAAATTTGATTGCTTTTGGTTTTTTTTTGAACACAAGCAGAATCGTTTTGCCAAGGTACTTGAGAATATCCTTTAAGTTTTTCTGCTGGCTATATTGTTTTTCGTTAATTGTTCACAAAGCTTTTGAACTACCAAGTGAGGTATATTAAGGATATTTGATTCGAAGATGGATTGTCTTTGTTTTGTATATTAATTTGCGGCCTAATAACTGTGTTATAATTGTAATTCATTAAGACTCACCTCAAAGGCTTCATTCTCAGCTTGGTTGTTGTTGTTTCTGATGTTGTTTCCATTACTCGTACTATGATTTCCATTAATACTCTTTGAAAGAGGATTAAAGACGAGCTCGGCCAGGCTGGGACCTGATCCGGAGAACTGCACCGCCTGCTGCTCCGTGGGCGCAACCAATCGTAATCGGTCCATGCATCGGGTGCTTACTGCACTGAGGGTGTCCACTGTACTGGAGGTGCTCAAGAAGTTTGAGGCTGCCACTGGCGCTGACGATCTGGACTTGCGAACGGGACGAACTAAGCGGCCCATCAGTCGAGCAGCCATATTTATAAAACCGGACCGAAACCGTCGTTCGGCTCTCCGGCCGCGACTCTCGTAGTTCCCTTAATCACAGGTGGCGGTACCTGGTAACAAAAACGGCGGCCCAAAAATTTGGGTAAATAAAAGACTCCAATTACCGAATAAACAACGAGCAGACAGTCGTATATTCTAAAAACACGTGTAGGTAGCCTGTAAATTCTAAACCAGATCTAATAAACCGATAAGACGTTATCAGCGCACATGGTTATAAGTAAAAAAAATATTTCAATTCAAAATATGCGCCATATGGCGGATATTGATTGTGATTTGTAGATAAACATGTTCGATAACAAGTCTATCGCCGCACACAAGTGCACGGGCACCCACAAACACTACTGCAGCAGTGTCAATAAACAAAGCTACTATTTTGATTTCCTCAGCAATTCCTGAGCAATTGCAATAAACAAACAGAACTTTCAATGGTGTCTGGAAATCTTTGCACTCACTGGCAAGCCAAGCTATTTGTTTAGGTTTAAGTAACACTAACGATCACGGTGAAATATTTTGTTTCATTTCCAGCAGAATTTATTTTGCAATGCAAATAAAATCAACGTAACCGCCAAACACAGACTAGTACAACAACAAGGTAACTACACAACATGTGCGCGGCGAACAGCTGTTTTAGCGGCAAAGCTGGGTAGTTGGCTATTTGCAAGCCAAATATGGCTAGATCTTACTTCTACTACAAACGAGTAATGTATTTTTGGTGTCCTATTGACTATTAACCATTATGACCGTATTTAAGTTATACATTACTATTTGAATATACATTAGTGCTTATTAAAAACAGTTGTATTATTGCTTTTAAATATTTATGTTTGTAAACCATTAATTTAGCTATTTATTAAGCTATTTTCGGAATGTTAATTTTTAGCTTGGCTCTGTCAATTAGCAGTTGGCCAACACTCTTCCAATGTAAACAGTGGCAACACGCGGACTCAATTCGGTTTAAATTAAAATGAATAGATGATGGCCGCGGAAACAACCGCTAAATCCAGGTAATGCCCGACACCCAGCTAAAAAATAAAGTTACATTTAATGTACCATTAATTCTTCAGCACCATGCGCCTGGGAATGTGCGAGGTGTGCGCCGCGAAGGAAGCCCGCTACGCCTGTCCCAAATGCGAGGTGAAGACCTGCAGCCTGCCCTGCGTCCAGATCCACAAGAAGGAACTATCCTGCGATGGACAGCGGGATCGCACCAAATTCGTGCCCCTCAGCGAGATGACGGCCCGGGAATTCATGAGCGACTACTGCTTCCTGGAGGAGTGCACCCGCTATGCGGAGAATCGGAAATCCGATCAGTGCAAGCGTTTCACCCACGACCAGAGGAATCTCCCGGTGGCGCAGCATCGGATGCAGACTGCGGCCAAGAAACGAAATATCCAACTGCGCCTGCAATTGGCGAATTTCAGCAGACACAAGGAGAACACCACATATCTGAACTGGAAGCTGGGACGTTTCTACTGGCGCGTGGAGTGGCTATTTGCCAACATTCCCATCGAGGCTAATTCTGGGGATGTGGCCCGGTTTGTGGACGCCCGCTGTGATGAGCAGGTTGTCCTGTCGGATCTGATTCTCAAGTACATCGATCTGCAGCAGGAGACGGCGCGCGATCATCGCAAGCTGCTGGCTAACCATCAAACGGCTGGTATTGGCCAGCTGAGTTTTTGGCTGAGAGCAGAGGGCGTGCGACGCAGCTCCACGAGGTGTTATCCCCTGGAGGCGGCCAAAACGCTGGCCGACAACCTATCGGGCAAAACCATCGTGGAGTTCCCCACGATCTTCGTTACCTACGAACCTAAACCACCGGGAGGACATGAAGCCGTTGACAGCGGTGAAGAACTGGAGGAGGAGCCGCCTGAAAGCAAACCAGGCAAGTCAGTCAAAGCATCCTCCATTGCAGAGGATCTAGATGAACCACATGATGTCTACCATGAGCTGGCTGCCGCCTTTGCTGGTGATGATGTCAGTGAACCTGAAGACGACGAGGAATTCGAGGCACTTTACAGAGAACACGTGGAATTGTAGAAAAATCTAAACAAAGCCTTTACTCGAAAGGAAGAAACAAAGGTAGATGCATTTGGAAGACAAAAGCAAAAAAAACCTTGGGCTACGGGGCAATAAGCCTGCCCAGAATTGGTCAGCGCCAAACAAGTTGAACCAAATACGCTGAAAGGCCATTATGCCACCCACAACCACTGTTGATTATGGAAATAAAACTATTTGATTGTATATTTTTACATAAATGTATTTTCTCGTACGCATTTGATTTAGTTTTTATTTTAGGCTAGTTAAACATTAAGAATTCATACCACACTTCGTTTCGATCTAGTTCCGTCATTGTCAACATCATCATATTACCAATCAATCATAATCTTCATAATATATATGTATAATAAAGAAGTTTGAAAAATCCAGTTACAGAGCTTGGGTTAATCGTAATTTGTGTACACTTTTTGAGTACAAAGTTTGTGGTCAATACACAGCAGTTTGTTTGTCCCTACTTGGAGGATCTCTTGTTTAATTTTGATATACCAATTAGCATTTCGATTTGTACATAATACATATGTGTGCCAGTATATTCCTATATAATTTCATTATTTTACTTTCGTTCCTTCTATTCTTTGCTTTTTTTGTTTTGTTTTTGCCTGCACCAGTTTTTTTTTTCGTATATTATTTAAATTAAAATTAAAGCATAAACAAACAAGTTCTAACAAATAAACATTTTCAAAATGCATTTTCAAATCAAACAAAAAGTAAACAAATAAAGGAAAACCATTTAAATTGTTCTAAAAATACATTTATAATATTATATATATATATATGTGGAATCATTTGCATTTTTCACACCAATCGTAAAAAGAGACACAGAGAAGAATACATCGAGAAAGGAAACCAGGATGAACAATTAATTTGCTTCTTAATCGCTTATCAATCCAATATCAACTATGTAGTTATAGATAAGAACAGAAAGATCAGTTATATAGTATTTAGATGTGGAAAATACAGCAATGCATAATCAAAGTGAATTCCGAATTAATGTCTGACCTCCTTCGAATACATATTCCATACAGCTAAACAAAAAATAATCATAAAAACTATGCAACATACAAAAGAAACATGTATATAAACAGAAATCGGGAGCGTGGATATAGTGGGTGGGGAATCGGGGGATCATATAGATTACATAGAGAAAATTTACATATATATTTCGCTAGTCGTACATAAATCGCTTTCTTCATCGTCTCTCCTCAATTAATCATTCACTAAACGTTAAGACATCGAACACCCACTCACACACACACACGCGCACAATTTGGTAAAGTTAGGTGTTTAATTTAGTTGGGTGAGTTAATTTAGTAGACACGCACAGATAGGACAGAAAGACAAAAGATTAACAAACTGTAGAGGAGCTTGGAAAAATCGTTGGGCCATCTTTTCCCCTGCTGGAAAGTGGCCACATCGTGTGTGCGTGTATATTATATGCATGACTGAGTGTGTGTGCGTGTGTGGGCGGTCACCGGTTGAAAAATAGATTTTACGTAGTTTCGAAGTGCTGCTGCAAAGAAAGAGTAACCCCATCAATCAGGCATCATCCGCTCCCATCCGTTCAACTCACATCTCGTTGGCATTTGCGGCAGCCGTTATCCCTCCCATCCTCCTCATCCCTCCTCCAAGCACATCTGGTTGCTTCTGCAGATCCCGAGGCTCCCAATCATCCGATCCCCTACTGCTGGTGCGTGGGCGCCGCTCCGGGGACAAAGTAACCGCCCTGGGGAACCGCAGCCGGTGCCATTATGGGGGCCAGGACATTCTCCGACGCCGCCGACATGGGCGCCCCCGAAGGATTGAACACATCCACATAGGAGTTCTTCAGCGCTGCGGAGTAAGAGTTAAAGGGTTCAGAAAGGGTTCATAAACTTATAATCGGCTGCTTAACAAATCCCTTTCGATCGAATTCTAAAACTTCGTTGTAAAATATAAGAGAACTAAATAATAATAATAATAATAATGATAAGGAAATATCAATATAAAGCTTAGGAATTCGCGAGTCCAAGTTGGTTTATATTTAGTTTAAACAAGGACTGAATTCAAACAAAATTATGTAAAATCAAACTGATCGAAAGGATTTCATTAATTTTTTTTTATTTCTTAATTTTAAAAATCAAAGTAATTCTATAAAGTCCGACGAAATGTCAAAATGTAACATTTAAATTCGAAACTAAAAATCTACTTTTGCATGTTAGTTAAAGCAAATTAAGACTGGTAGTTGGATACTTACTGCGGTTGCGTTGCATCTTAAAAATGTTGGACTGCAACTTTGGCTGTGGTCCTCCGGGATTGGCCGCGGGATTCGGAGCCGCCGCTGTCACCGGTGCAGGTGATGGGACAGGAAGTGGCGCCGGCGATGGAACCGTTGGGATCATCTCGGGCGCAGGAGCAGCTGTGTAATCAATGGGACTGCCATACATCTGCGGCTGAGCCGGGGGCTGCTGTTGATCCATCAGCGGTGCTGGTTGGTGGCTGCCGCCCAGTGGGTTAGTGGCCATTGGCGGTTGCGCTGTTCCCATGCCCAAGCCCATGCCCATTCCGAGTCCAACTGGTGGGCCCGCTGGTGCGGCGGCTGGTACTCCAGGCGGCATGCCCATGCCCAGATCGCTCATCTTGGGCGGCGGCTTAAAGCTCTCCGCCTCCTCGGCGGTGCCCTCGGTGTTCGTCCAGCATTTGCGCTCCTTGTCCCACACGATGGTCGGATTCTTGTCGTCCGGCAGGATCATTTGGTTCTTCGGCTTTAGCGACAGCTTGTTCCAGAGTCCGCCAAACCAGCCCGCATTCTGATTGCCAGGTGCACTATTAAGGATAAAGAATATAGTATTTTAGAAATTTATCAAATGGTTTGCTTTTATTTACGTGGATCAAACCTATTAGCCTATATTATCCACCCTAGTTTTAGGTTCTAGAACTCACCCAAGATCGCCGCCGGAGCTGGACTGTTTGCCCGACGCCTGCTGTTTGCCGGCAGAATCTGAGGAGCCGCCGAGCGAGGGTTTCTGGCCAGGATGAGCCGAACCACCGCCGTCGTCCTCATCTCCGTAGCTCATTGACTTGGGCATGGAAATCGCAGGGCGCACGTGTTGCTGCTGCAGCTGTTGTTGTTGATGATGTTCGGATTGCGAAATTGGAGTTGGAGTTAAGAAATGGCATTGGATTAGTCTTCTGCGAGAGGCATTCGGTTTAGTCATAAGTCATAGTTCTTAGGCAGAGTGTTAAAGTTGGTTAGTAACAGTTTGGTTATGGGTTAGTTAAATCGAATCGAATGAACAACGTAAACGTGGCAAATTAACTGGCGCAGTCAAAACACTCTTGCTCACAATTATCGTATAAGGCTTAGTGATAACAGATTGCTTAGGGGCATTAAGAATAATTATATAGATTTAACAGCTAACACTTAAGACAGGCTCCAGGTACAGAAAGCTCCCAACCAAAAAAAAAAAAAAGCAGCGATGCACTTGCTCCTCTTTTTCTTTCTACCTATCTCTTTAGTAACTACTTTTGTAAATACTTTTTTGTTTCTCTTTTACTAAGACTAGAATTTTTGTTTGTTGTGAGTTTGTTTACAATTTCTTCTTAGATCTAAGAGCCAAGTCAGGATTTGCGGATGTGCTGCTGCTCCGGTGACCTCTTCGGGTGGGTGCATCGATGTCGAAGGTGCGCACTGTGGCTCCCGGTTGCAAGTGTTGCTCCTTTTTGCTGTCCAGATAGTTCTCGAATCGGCTTAGGCTCTGCTCCACTTCGGAGCACATTTTCTTGTAGTTAAGCGGTATGGCTGGATTGGCTATCAGCTCCTCCATGGACCACACGTGTTGGGGTTGGGCGGCACCGGTGGTGGCTGCCTCCATGGAAGCCGGTGTCCTCTCAACCCTTCCCCCCTCTTTCCCTGGTATAATCCCATACTTGTTGAGCAGTTCATGGGTATAGTAATCGCCATCATCATAACTCTCGTCGTCATCGCCGACGCCATCTGGGAATAGATCCTCGTCCGCGTACTCATCCTCCTCTTCCTCTTCGGCCTGTTCCTCACCCTCGGCATCCTCATCTATCACATAGTCATGGAGCACGTAGTTCCGATAGCGCTGTAAGTCCCCACGATCTGCATTGGCCTCCGGGTCATAGGAGTTGCTCTTGAGTTGAGTTTGCGCCTGAGTGAGGGGCATATCAATGGGATAGGTGCCATTAAAGACAATATGGGGCTTCCGCAAGAGATTTAGGTTTGGTTTGGCCTGTGCCAAGGCTAAAACGTTTTCCTCCTCGTCCTCATCAAAGTCCAGTTCATGTTCGAATTCTTGTTCCGATTCGGCAATGGTCGTGGGAAGATTAAAGTTAACCCGCTTCCCAGATGATCCTCTAGCACCTATATATGTGGTCGTTGAAGTAGTGGGCGCTGTGGGCGTGGCTGTAACTGTGGCTGCTTTGGCGGCAATGAAACGTGTGGGTGTGGTTAGCGTTTTTGGCGTGGCTAAGTAGTGACTATTTTGGCTGTTAGACTTTCTACAACTTAGTAATTGGTTAGATGGAGCAGCTGCTGTTGCTGCTGTTGTTGCTGCTGCTGTTGTTGCTGCTCTTGTTGTTGCTTTGTGGCGATTGGTGCTGCTGCTGCTGTTGCTGGTAGCTTGATGTCGTTTATTTATGTTGGAAAAGCTACTTACATCATTCAAATTGAATGCCTTGGCCGATGCTGCCGCTGTCGTCGTTGCTGCTGCTGATGCTACTGCAACTGTTGCTGGTTTTATTTGGGCAATCGCTGCTGCTGCTGCTGCAATTGTTGCTGCTCTTGCCGTCTCTTGTCTTTTTCTCAATGCACTGATGCTTTTCTCCTGCTTCAAAGCATTCGATTTAAAACGATTGTTGCCGCTGGCGGCACCATTGCTGCGTGTATGTTGCTCCTGTTGCTGCTTGGCCTGATGCATCTGTTGCTGCTGCGCTTGCTGCAATATCTGCTGCTCATCCTCCTCCTCCTCATCCTTTAACGCAGCTTGATTCTCATTCGGCTGCATTCCATTTGGATAGAGGCATGTTTTTATTTTGGTGTTGTGTGTGCAATTTGATTAGAAACTTGTTAGCAATTTGGCGAATCCTACTTTTGTGGCTATAACACAAGTTCAAGACAGATAAAAACTTAAGGCGTAAACAGAATAACAGAATAACATAAAAAATGTAAAACTTAAAACATAATAAATGAAAGACACACATTTTATACATTGATCAACTTAAAATAAACTAAAAAAGGCAAGAAAAGCAAAAGATAAACCGACTGCATACCTACTGGCCTGTAAAATAAATATACTTAATTTTACCGATTTTATTGTTTTTTTTTAAATAGCAAATGAATTAATAAACAACAGTTTATAACTGTAATTATAATTTGAGCTCTAATTTAAATACGTTAAACCTGCTCGTTTATCAAAATCGATATTTTCTATCAAATAAATTAATGGGTATATTGTAAATGCATCAAGTGGGAATACAGAGGGTTTAAGGACTGCTGGTTCATGAACCTACCTCATTGCCATAAGGTGGCTGCTGTGTGCCCGACCAGTAATCGTATCCATAGCCAGGAGCAACGGCAGCTGGATCTGCTGCTTGTCCTGGTTGGTAAGCCTCAGTTGCAGGCTCTATTTGGCCGTAAGTGGGAGTTGGTTGCTGTGATTGCTGATCGTATTGATGGTGGGCCGCATTCGGATCGTATTGATGGTGCTGAGTCGCATTGGGATCGTAGTAAGGCTGTTGTCCCTGGGATCCATAAGGATCCGATTCGGCTGGCGCCTGTGGTGGTGGTGGCGGTTCATAGTACTGTTGTGGTGGCTGTTGGTGCGCTTCTGGCAGAACTTCCTGCTGCGGCTGATGTTCCCCTGGCGGCAGTTGCGGTTGCAGCGTGCTCTCCAGATTGCCACCATCATATTGCATATTCAGCTCTCTGAATTGCTTATTGACCTCAGCAAACTGCTGATCGATGTCGTTTTGCTCCTGCTGGATTTGCTTTTCCTGTTGCAGATGTTGCAACTGCTCCTGCTGGGGTTGCTGCAAATACAGAGTCGTGCATTAGTTAATATTAAGGGGATATTCGGTAGTGTTTGACCCACCACATCGGCAAGGGATCGCAGTTGACGCAACCAGGCTTTTTCTTCGGGAGCGGCACTATCCTTGCTGGTGGCGTTCGGAGGACTTGCAAACGAGACTCGGTTGATCAGGATGGGATCATGGTAGCGCAGGCGTTCCGCCAATCCACAGACCTACAAAGACAAAGGTAAAGTTTACAATTTTGTACATATGCAACAAAGTTAAATGACTTTATTCATATTTTTTAAAAGATCATAAGCCTTACCCGCTGAACAAAATCGCTGTCGTAGCTCTCTGGCTTCAGTTCAATGTGCTTGGCGATCTGCTCTAGATAGTTGGTACAGCGGAAGTGCTGACCATAATCAAGGATCCGTGTGGCCAGCAGGAACTTGTAGTGCTGGAAATGGGCGATGCTAAACTTGGGATCGAACAGCGACCGAGCGTACTCGTAGATTTCTGTCATGATAATGGCCTCGTTGCTGGCAAACTCGTTGAAGTTCTTGTAGTGCGAGGAGCCCAGTAGAATAAGTCTGTAATCGAAAACAGGCAAGTGAGATAGTAAAGATAAGCTACCAATGATGTGTGCTTACCTTGGCACATTGGCGGTAAGAGTAGTTAGCTCTGTGGCCGAGCTGTTGTATCGGCCGAACTCCTCCTGGGCCACCAGATAACAGAAGTGTGCTGCATAGATATCGCCACGCTGGAATAGCGTGTCGCCAAGGGCCACCACCGAACTGCGATCATACTCCGGCTGGCGACTCTTGTTCGTCACCAGAATGGAGAGATGTGAGCGCCAGTCGCCCCACTGCTCATCCCGCAGCTGGCTAACGCACGCCGGCGTGTGGCAGCTCTTCATTTGGTAGAGCGTCTGCAGCGGATCGTTGGCCTTGATCGCTCGATTGAGGAACTTCTGGGCCACATCCGTGAGAGCATATCGATCCTCGTAGAGGGCCAGAAAAAAGGCGTGCGTCCACAGGCCATTGTCGGTGGCCCACTGGAGGGCCTCCTCGACATTTCCGCGCAGCACATAACTGCGGAACTTGTCCGTGGCCTCCTGCTCTGACAGAGGCGTCCGTCCTCCTGCTCCTCCAGCTGTCGGTGCAGTTCCTGCATTCGCTCCATTGGATGAGTTAGCAGCAGCATCTGCTGTAGGTGTTTCCTCTGTCGTAACTGCTGCTCCCTGTTCGCTATCCAAATCTGATTCCTGTGGCTTCTCCTCTGGAGCAGAAGCATTTTGCTCAGCATCCGCATCTGGCTCGTTCTCGGCTTCGAATTCGCTGGGATCGTAGGGATACTCCTGCTGATTCTCCAGCAACAGATCGCCCACATCCGTATCAGCGATGTACTGTAAATATAGGTAATACGTTTTAGTTAATGTTATTGTTTAAGTTAATTAATGCTATTCCCACACCCAAACTCACCCCATTCTGACGCAGCAGCAGTATGAGCAGGTGCCACATGAGGGCATGTGAGGCACGGTACTTGGTCACGCTGCCCTGCGGCTTCTTCTGCGTGGCATACAGCACGGTACATCCCTTCGTGGGTCCCAGTCGGATCTGGTCCTTGCAGAAACTGATGATCTTGTCCTTGTGCAACTTCCGGCCCTGCAAAGGACCCGGATACATGCGCAGCAGGCTGCTCGTTCCGTCCCGGATGCGTGGTGGTGCCACCTCCACATCGTTTCGCAGACGTCCGCGTCCGGCGTACTTGGGCTTCACCTTCAGCAGCAGGCTCATCGCATATGAGGCCACCAAATGCGGCCGGTTGAACTGTAGAGGAGTGCGTCTGCGTGGCGGACGAGCCACCGCGGTGGTGGTCACCGTTCCAGCGGTGGCCACTCCTCCATAAGTCGAAGGTGCCGCTTCGGCAGCAGCTCTGAGATGGATCACAAAAATATTTGCATTAGCACAGATGGAAAAAAAGAGTAGTTCGGAAATAACGAAATAAAAAAGATCATGCAAAATCGAAAAAAGATTTTGGGTTGTCGAGAGATCAGAGATTGGGTTTCGGGGAAAAGGCAGGGGTAACAGTGGAGTCGGAGAAAAAAGAACCCATCCTCAAAATAGATGTCAAAAGATCCCATTGCATGCGACCTATTAGAAAAAATTTCGACAGACCTTTTAAATCCCCAAACTTATTTATCGGAAATATAATGCAGATTGAATGATTTTATTTATGTATTCACCTGTTATTCCAAAGATTTTTTTAAATTAAATCGTAATTATTATTTTCGCAGACAAAATAAACGTTTTAACTCGAGGGACAAAAAGACTCAGAGTTTAAAATTTATAAAATACTAAGTAGTTTAACATTTTGATCAGATTTTATCTTTTTTTTTAAAATTTTCTATTCGATTTTCAGTGATTACTTTCAGGACTTAACAGCTCAGATATCTAAGATTTAAGTGATCACTGATAACACTTGATCGGACAAATCTTTATTTACTGAGCATAATTTTGTGATTATAAGATCCACCATTGTAAAATATGAGACAGAGACAGAAAACGAGAGTTCTTATTTTCTAGACAAGGGCAAAGCGAAGAAACGATATTCCAAAGCAGCTTAGATTGAGTACAACAGAGGGGGAGAGAGAGATGGAGAGAGTGGGTGAGAGTGGTCAGGTGTTTTAGGTGTTTTGGTTTTTGTTTTTGCCTAAATGACAGCGCTAAGCTTCACAGAGAGAAAAAGAGAGAGAGTACCACAGAAAGCGAGAGAGTGGGTTTTGATTTTTCTGGGACAGCAGATTTTGTAAAAGATGGTTTTTGTTTTGAATTTTGTGTTTTTTTAGTTTTTGTATATACTTGCAGAATGTATTTTTTTATTTAATCAGGAATATATTTAAATAAGTCTTGAGAAAAGACTATTCAATAATGTTTCAGAAAGTAAATTTAAGTTAGTTCAAAATCGGACTACTATATCTTATATGTATCTGGCCTAGGAATTATAAAGTGCCCAATAGCCTATCACAGTTTTTAGATGGTTATAAAACGATTTTTTTAGAGGTACAACTTCACACTATTATCATTTAGTGCGGTTATAAAATATTCGAAGTTTATTAGACAATTATAAATTTTTATATCTCGTTGTATAGGAAGATAAAGAAAATTAGATAAAAATGTTGTCTGAAAACATTAATACAATTTTGTGAAGATAATTAAATGCTACTGTTTAAGGGAGACCATTTTCAAGAAGGACATTTTCGATTGACTACACTTTAACTCTTATCGGAATGATATGGAAATGCACATCTATCGACTGATCAGTTTCGGTAATACATAACTGCAAAAGTATATATAAACTTTGGAATTCCAAAGTTAGCGTCCTTTCTCGTTTTTTCTTTTCTTAGTTTTTTTTTTTTGTTTTGACCACCTGATATCGAGACCGCATTCGGACCCAGCGTAATACGGTCCGCATCGGGAATTGCGTCCATCGCCGTTTAAATTACTCAGCGAGCGGGCACTGGAGAGCGAAGGATGTGGAAGATACTGGCCATAGATGGATCCTCCTCGCGATCCATAAAAACTGGCATTATCCTCTGTAGCAGTAAAACTGGAGTTCAAGTGATCATCCATCCTCTGATGTTGTTGTTGCTGGTACAGAAGCTCTTTGTATTGGTGACGATGAAATTCATTGGCTTGGGTTATGTATGCGTGTGTATACCTGTATATATGTAAAGGTGGGCAATTTGGGCAGAGCACAATTGTTTTTTTTTGTGATTTTTTGTTGTGCATTTTGTTGTTGTTGGTTAAAGACGAAAACAGTTGTTCGGTTATTTACGAATTTGCATTAGTTTTTGTTTTTGGCAGGGTTTATTTTAATGTGTTTGGTTTTAATTAGTAAAAACGTACACATCGAACGGCACACGGGGAACAAATTGGAACATGAAACATGATGGGGAGCGGGTTCCAATTGGAATATGTAATATGTATGGGGAACAACGCAAGGGAAAGAGAAAGCTGCAAGAGAGCGAACGAGACCCCGAATTCTAATCACTAACTACAATAATTAGCAGTTATGTATGTATTAAAGCCCAAGTCCAACCTCAACATTTATAAGGGGGAGGGAGGGGTAAAAGGAGAAGGGGAGAGGAGGAGTTGTATTTTCCATAATGTTAAACAAACTATGTTAATCATTGGTTTTGCAGTTAGCACAGCAAGCTAAGTTAAACGTGAGAGGAAAATAACAGCTAATTCAAGATCAGAAAAGTTAAGAGCCGATAAAAAGTGGGCCGGGCTAAGGGTTAAGGTGTGAGGTAACGAAGATTAAACAAAACTAAAGGAACGGTGGCAAAATAACACTATTTCGGATCTTCCGAAAGTTTAGATTCTAAAACTTGCAGAGACTATAAATATAAAGATTTAATACTTTTCATTTTATTCAAAGCAAAGAACCCACGACATAGAGAGAGATAGCGTTAGTTTTACGGTTGAATAATAACATGCTATCTAATTTATTTAATCTCCTTTTTAAATGACTAAAATTTATGGATCATCAAAAAGAGATTTAACACGCTCAAGTCATGTGTCAAATGACAACACATTTGAATGTGTGGGCAGGAAGTTGTTTTTAATAAAACTAAACCTGGACTATGTAGAACTTCCTTTATTAACCTACGCAAAAACCGTAAAATTTTAACTATTAAAATACTTTTTTGTTAACAATAAAACTCCATAAAATAATTGTTTCTATGCTAGTTACGAAATGGCAAAACAACTAGACCTTATCTATGCCAAGGAAAAATAATGTCTAGACTTTTCAAAGTATCCTCTTTAAAATCTCTGCAAGTTTCTGGGGGTGCTGTAATCTAGGTGACCTGGCAAATTTCGTACAAAAACAAGGCATAATGGCTGGGGAAGGGAGGAACTAACCTTTCTCTTTCCCTGAGCAGGGCGGCCTCACTGCTCCCGCTGACACTTCCTCCGCTCGTGGCGGCCGCCAACTGGGCAGCGGTCACCGGTACCGCTCCGGGCATCAATCCGGGAATCGCTGCAGCGGCACCCGGAACTCCGGATTTCGAAGCAGCCGCCGAAACAGCGGCCGTCATCGAGTTGATCATCTGGCCGTAGAACTTGGCATACATATCGGCGTACGCATGTGGATTCCGTGACATTTGCTCGTACATTCCGTACGGATCGTAGGCACCGGACACCGCATATTGATCGTAGTTGCGACGCTTGCCAGATCCGGAACCACCGGCTCCGCCGCCACCGCTCGTATTCCCACCATTGATGCGATCCTTCTCGAGGTCACTGTTGCGTGAGCTCTTGCGGCGGTACTCCTCGTAGTAGTCCAAGTTCCGTCGACGGCCATCTTCTGGTCGGCCACTGCGTCCCTGATTCTCGTAGCTCCGTCGTCCGCCGGAGGAGCGGGATTTGTCAGCCGATGATTGCTGCTTGGTGGAACGTCTAGAATACTGGCGATTGCGGTCGCGTTCCCGTTCGTAATCGTCGAACTCCTCCTCGGCGGCACTGCGACGCTGGCGATCAACTTTGCTGCTCCGGCCACCGCTACCGGCGGTTCCGCCTGTGCCACCAATGCTACCGTCCAGTTCTCCTTCGCCCAGGTGATTAATCTCCGGGTTATCCGACTCGCCGTCGTAGGTGCTGTTGTTGTAGCGACGCGAGTGATCATAGGAACGCTCCTGCTCCTCGCCACCACTGTGATACTTGTTGGATCGTCGCCGCCAGTTCCGCTCGCGATCCCGGTCCCTCTCACGCTCCCTATCCCGCTCCCTTTCCCGCTCCGCCTCCGGTTCCGGATGACGACGCGAGCGCGTGGACTCGTGGTTGCGTCTGTGATGCGTTTCCCTTAGGGATTTGGTCTCGTGGTGGGCTGCACCGCGTACAGAGTCCTCCGTTTCGCCATCGTAGGTATAATGACCATGGCTGCGTCCTCGACCGCGCCTCTCTTCCATCTGATCGCGGTGCTCACGCTCGCGATCCCTCTCCCGTTCGCTCTGCAGGAACTCATCCGACTCGTCCTCGGACTCCAAATCCAGCGAGGCGTTGGTGCGACGTCCCGCCGCCGCACGCTTCTTCTCCAGCTGAGTTGGATGCTGCTGCTGCAGCGGGGGTTGCTGCTGCTGCTGCAGATGCGGCAGTTGCTGCGGTTGATTTAATGGTGCCACTGCCTGTGGCGGATTGTTGTGATGCAGCTGCTCCGGCTCGTCGGGCAGAACATTGTGATGCATATTGTATGGTACCGTTGCTGGTGGAATTTGGGGGAAGGCCAGTGCTGGTGGCGGAATAGCCTCGCGATCCTCCAGGTTCTCCCCATCTAGCACCACTTCTCGTTGTTCTCTCAAGGACAGCGAGACGGGGGCGCTGGTTTCCACGCCCGTGACGACGCGACGCGGAGGCGTCTGTATATTACGCACTTGCTGTTCGCCATCGGAGGTATCCTCGCCATCCGCCTGACGCTCCTGCATGTGCAGGGCAGCCGCCTGGGCCACATTCAGCGGTGGCTGCTCCGTGGCTCCAGTCACCTGGCGCTGCTGCTGCGAGTCCAACTCAGGTTGGCCCAAAACCAGACGCGATAGGCCCGGTGGCGGCAGCAGACCCGCATCCTGATCTGCTTCACCTTCGCCCAACTGCTCGGACAGGTGACTCGTCTGCAAGTACTGGGCCCGCTCGTCATTTGGCGCGGAGAGCACCTCCTGGTTGTCCGGTTCCAACATCTGGACGACTGGCTGCAGAAGGGCTGGTGGTGGCGATGCATAGAGCGATGCGGCTGGTGCAGGAATGGGTGCTGGAATAGGTACTCCCAGTGGAGCTCCGAACGAAGCTTCAACAGGTGGTGCCGCTAGTAAATTGAAACCATCTCCATGAGCTTCTGCTGGCAAACCAAAAAGCTGCTCCGCTGGTTGTGCTATTGGTGCTATTGGTGCTACTGGTGCTACCGGTGCCACAGGAGCCAGTGCAGCGGGTGCTGGTGGCGAAGGAGCTCCTTCCGCCGAATTGGTCATGATGTTAACTCGCTTGCTGAGACCCGTGGAGCGTTTGAAGGGATTGCCAGCCGCTGGAGTCAAGCTGGGAGGCAGTGCAGCCGGTGGTGCAATGCCAGCAGTAGTCGTTGGTGGTGGTGCTCCCAATGGAACCACGGGGGCTGGTGGTGCTCCCACGGGAACCAAGGGTGCTGGTGGTACTCCCCCGGAAACCAATGGTGCTGGTGGTGCTCCTACCCCTGCGAGATGTGCTGGAGGAGCTCCTACAGCAAATAGTGGTGATTCCACAGCAGGCAATGGTGCGGGAAACGATGCTAGTGATGCGGGTGGTGGTGCTCCCGCAGAAACTGCAACTGCTGGCTGGTTTTGAAAAGCCTGAGGTGGTACAATGGCATCCAGTTCTGGTTCCTGGCCAAGTTCCGGCGGCGATTGCGGCTGCTGGCGGTGCAACAATATTGTCGATTGCTGCTGCAATGGCGGTGGTGCCTGCTGATCCGTTGGAGGCGGTAGCTCCACATTATTATTGGCATTATTACCGGTGGCAAAGGCTTGCCAACTACCTGGCGAGGACGGCACGTTAAAGGAATCCCCCAGCTGTTGTCCCGATGGCTCCAACAAGCCCTCGTTGCTGTTGCTTATGTTGCTGACGTTGTTATTATTGCTGTTATCGTTCCAATCGTCCCAATCCCCCCAGCCATCGGTCCGGGCACCACCTCCTCCGCTATTATTGTTGTCAAACGAGTCCAGAGCGGGTTCCGCTGGAGCCGGGACTTGGGTCTGCTGGTGAGTGGGATAATACAGCTGCTGCTGCATTGTATGTTGCTGCTGCGTAGGATGTTGCTGCTGCGGGTGCAGTTGTTGCTGCTGCAAAGGGTGTTGTTGCTGCACCGGCTGCTGCTGCTGTCCACCAAAGTAGTTATTGTAGTTTAGCGATTGCTGGGGCTGCTGCTGTTGCTGTTGCGGCTGATCCTCGGGCCAGTAGTTTGGCTGCTGTTGCTGAAACATTTGGCTGGCATAGAGCTGCTGCTGCTGCTGGGCAGGATAAGGTTGCTGCTGCTGGGGTGATGCATGCTGCTGCTGGGGAGTTGGATGTTGCTGCGGTGCCTGTTGCTGCTGCTGCTGATGCGGTGGCAGCCAGGGCGCATTGTTGTGCAACATGTTGGAGCTACAAAAAGAACAAAAATACATTATATACGAAATACAATTAAGTTACTCAAACTGGGGAAATATTACATTCAAAATATGGGAGTACTAGAGTTGTTTCTTAGAAAAGCCCATGCTAATTTGAGAGTTTATTCTCTGGATTCAATTAATTTAATTTTAGATCACTTATACATCATGAGATTACAATAACATTGCAATTATTTCTAATAGATTTTTTCAGAGTTTAAATGATCCAAAACCAAGACAATATAAATTAAATAGTACGTGTATATGATCCCCTAGAGATTTTCAAACCAGGAATTCAGACAGATTTATCTTATCGTCCAATAGAAACAAAATTGTGGCATATTCTTAATTACACCTTATTGCTATGGAGTTTTTAAGATAACAAAGAAATCTTGTTGCTTAGAAATCCTTAGTATTTTAATTCCAGGAATTTCATCTGAGACATTTAATGCAGAAGGGGGTTATAGTTGTTAAAAGGAGTTTTCAGGGAAGTGTGCAGGTGGTGGGTTGTTCGATTTGTGGAGCGGTTCAATGAACGAAACCTGTTTTTATGGAAAATTACCCGTTTTCCCCGATTTTTCTCCAATTCCTGTGGGGATTCGTGAAGAGCGATGGAAAATACGCAAGGGAAATTTAAACAATTTCGAATATAGTATAGGTTTATAGTGCTGCAATAAGCGAAAAGCAAAAGTTAAAAGTTTACGTGGACGTTTGCTATATATTGCCCCCACTCTTCCTCTTCTTCTTCTACGTTTTGTTACCACCGTTTTGCTCTCTTTTACTGTTGTTGTTTTTGTACTCTTGACGCAGCAGGTTTTTTCTGCTGCATTTTGTACCATTCTCTACGCCACTGATTATAATTTTTGCACTTGTTTTTCGAGGACTGACTTTGGCATTATTCTTGCGTATTTTTAATTATTACATATATCTTTTTTTTTTGCCCCGTAAGTCAAAAGTGAAAACACTCTCTGGGGAGCAAAAAAAATTTGGAGCAGTTGTTGAGAGAGAAAGAGAGAGCTCTCTCTCTCGGCGAAAAAGAACCATACGCAGGGTTGCAATTTGAGTCCGGTGTTCCTGCAAAACTGACCACAATTATTTTGACCATCCCATTAACTAAAAAACCAAAACACTTGGCAGTTGTCTTTGTCAATTTCTTATAAAAATAAAACAGCCGAATTTACGGGAGAGCCGCTCTGCACGTAAACACACACACACAAGCAGGAACACGCACACACACACACATCAGGCACAAGTGTCGATGTCCCTTTCCTTTTTCTCTTCGTCTTCTAATTAGCTTACGCTACACATTGACTTACACAAATCGCTTGCTTATTTACACGCACGTAGTACTGTTCTCTGGCAGTTGAATAAACAATACATTTACTTGTTTGCTAATTGCTAAAGCAGTCGTCTTCGGTTTTTAAACAATTAACTATGGAATTTACTCGATCCGAACGCAGCAAAATCTCCCAAATGCCAACTCGACTTTCGTGGCGTTGCCAGACTGGCGAGCGGACGGTTAGCCAGGGTGGCCAGACTGTGCACATGCTAAAGATGGGATGAAAACAATTGGATTTAGATATGGGTGTTTCAAGAAAATTATATTACAATTTTAGTTAAACTCATGTTCAATTATTATTGCCTAATTTTGATTATTAAGAACCCATATGTCATTAATTAATTATAATTTAAATATCCCACATAGCAAACGCATTAAGATAGGCAATAAATAAATAGTGTTCTCATAACAAAAAATGGTTTCCAAATAAATTCTAAAACAGTGGGCCAAAATCTTCTTAAAAATTACCTTTTAATTTTTTATTCTTGTGTTTCATGAAGCAGATAATTTTTTTCTCTAAAGAATTTCGGTTTCTTGTATCATTGCTGTTAAGCTGTCATTTGTCTTGTTAAGAAGTCGAAAGGTTTTGAATAAGAATATGCCATCTAAAAGTAATAATAAAAAACGTTAGTCCCTTAATGGTTTTAGTTTTAATTTAAGCTAGCAGCATTAAACCTTGAAAGCTAAAAATATCGATTTATACGGGAATTCCCCCTAAATATTCGATATTTTTGCAGCTGCCTATCGCTGACCACATGCTTAAGTTTCTATCGCCAGGGCCCCACCACCAAACAACAACAACACACAGCAGCAACAGAACGGGAAACAACAACAATAACACTGATGCCTTAGCGCTTGCGTATTTTGTTGATATTTGCAAGCCACGCGAGACGAGAAGAGATGCTGCGCCTACTCGTGTCCAACTGCGGCCGCAGCAGCGACTTGTTCAGGTAGGGGGTGTCATCGGGGATCAGGAATGGTGGATCCACCAAGAGCAGCAGCACCAGCAGCACTTGGCCATGAAAACACCCCCCTTTGCCCTCACTCCGGTTATGTCATCAATTCACTAACTTGGTTTTGACCGCCCTTTTCCGCAGTCGTCACCTGCTGCAGCCCTCGCAGCAGCCACTGCCACGCCTCCAGAATGCCGCCCGCCTGATGCGACAACATCTGCGCGGCACGAACGCCAAAGGAGGACCACCTCATCCGCCCGCACCCGCGCTTCCGCCCACAAACGCCAGCCGCCTGCTGCACACGACACGCCTACTCTTGTGGGGCGGTGGAAGTCTGTCGCTCGGCTTGGGCGCCCGCTCCTGGTGGGCGGGGCGCGGTGCAATCGTCCACTGCGAGGGCAGCCGACTGGCCATTCGCAAGGAGGAGGAGGAGGAGCCGGCGGACGAGCATCGGTTCGACTGGCACCGGCTGTGGGCCTATCTGGAGCCGCATCTCTGGGAGCTCATCGGGGCCATATGCGTGAGTCCTTCGATCACACATAGATCAGAGACCACCGAACCAGTAGGATAGTGTCAATCAGGAAAGCAACTAGTGGTTATGATCAAGGATCAATAGAGAACAATAATACTGTAACCCTTTTAAGCCCGTAGGATAGTGTCAGTCAAGTTTTTAAGCATACTCCATAGTAATTCCTTGAAATGCTATATCAATCAGTATGAACGATGAACTTTTTTTACATTTAGCAAATAGGCAGATTTGTTTATACAAAAAAAATCTTTAGAACATCAATAGATGCATCGGTAAATCCAAGCATTTATCAAACTAAACTATAGTAAATTAAAGCAAATACTTTATTATAATAGTTAAAAATTAATTGAGTGATGATTATATCTACTTATATACTAATTTAACTCCCTTATTTGCAGGCCGCCCTGATCGTGGCTTACATCAACATCCGCATACCCAACCTGCTGGGCGACCTGGTCAACACACTGGCGAGATATGCCAACACGTACGTGACGGATCCGATCAACAACTCGTTTGTGAAGGACGTGAGCAAACCGGCCGGCAATCTGCTGAGCCTGTACATGCTGCAGTCGGGCTTCACCTTCATGTACATCTACCTGCTGAGCCGGGTCGGTGAGCAGATGGCGGCCAAGATGCGCCAGGATTTGTTCACGCAGATCGTCGTCCAGGACATTGCCTTCTTCGATGAGAATCGGACGGGGGAGCTGGTCAACCGACTGACAGCCGATGTGCAAGACTTCAAGACCTCCTTCAAGCAGTTCGTGGCCCAGGGATTGCGAAGTGCTGCCCAGTTGATTGGTGGCAGCATATCGCTCTTTATGATTTCCCCGCACATGGCAGCCATTGCATTGGCCAGTGTCCCGTGTGTGGTGATGTTCATGTCGTATTTGGGCAAGAAATTGCGCTCACTGAGCAAAAGCTCACAGGCGCAGGCCGAACGAGCGACGGGAGTTTGCGAGGAGGCACTGTCCAACATCCGGACGGTAAGATCGAGTGCTTGTGAATACCGCGAGATGCAGCTGTTCGAGGCGGAGACCAATGAGGCGGCTCGCCTGGCGCAGGAACTCGGCTACGGCATCGCCATCTTCCAGGGCCTGACCAACTTCTTCCTCAACACACTAGTGCTTTCCACGCTGTTCATGGGCGGTCACCTCATGTCCACGGAGAGCCTGTCGCCGGGTGCCCTGATGGCCTTCCTGGTGGCCTCGCAGGGTGTGCAGCGATCCCTGGCCCAGGGATCCATCCTGCTGGGCACCATGATCAGGGGCATGACGGCTGGCAGTAGGGTCTTTGAATTCCTTTCGCTCCAGCCGCAGGTGGAGCTGCTCCGCGGCTACGTCATCCCGCAGGAGCGTCTGCACGGCGAGATCCGGTTCGAGAACGTCTCCTTCGCATATCCCATGCGGCCCGATCATGTGAGTTATTTTTTAGAGTATCTTAAAATCCCGTTTCCCTTCCTTATTAGAACAACGTTGTGTCTCAGAAAAAAAGAGCAATATATTTTAATTTAGAAACTGATACCTTGATTACATATTATTCACCAACTTCCAATCGTTTTCCGGAATAGATAACAATTTTACCACAGCCACAAACCTTTATAGGTATCAATTTACGGATAAGTGATAAAAAGAATACCAATAGAGTAATAAAATAAGATATAATTTTCTATATAATAGCTAATATTGGTATCATACGTACAATATTCCTACTGACACTAACCTTTTCCTCCTTCCCCATAGGTTGTGCTCAAGGACTTCAGCCTGACGCTCCGCCCGGGCCAGACGGTGGCCCTGGTTGGAGCCAGTGGATCGGGCAAGTCGACGATAGCTTCGCTGGTGGAGCGCTTCTACGAACCATCGGCGGGCAATATCAAGCTGGACGGCTACAAGTTGTCGGACATCTCGCCCTACTGGCTGCGGGCCAATGTCCTCGGTTTCATCGAACAGCAACCGGTGCTGTTCGGCACCTCGATATTGGAGAATATCCGATATGGCAAACCGGATGCGGGCGAGGAGGATGTGTTTGCGGCAGCGCGGCTCTCGCAATCGCATGACTTTGTCACTGCCCTGCCCGACGGATATGCGACGCATGTGGGCGAAAGGGGCACCCAGTTGAGCGGTGGTCAGCGGCAACGGATCGCCATCGCCAGGGCACTGCTGAAGAACCCGCGCATCCTCATCCTGGACGAGGCGACGAGTGCCCTGGACGCCACCAGCGAAGCCGAGGTGCAGAAGGCACTGGACACAGCAGTGCAGAACCGAACCACTTTGGTGATTGCCCATCGGCTGTCCACAATACGAAACGCTGACCTCATCGTCGTCCTTGACCAGGGACGCGTAGTGGAGGTGAGTTGTCTGAGCTTTGATTATATGTTCTCGAATTGACGAAAAAATATTGATAGTAATAACGAGTTACTCCTACATATTAGATGAACCTTGCATTTCAAGAACACAACATTTTTCATATAACAGCATTATATTTAAAATACATATTTATATCGTTAAAAGTTAAATTATTGCCATTGCTGTTACTTAAACTGAAACAATTTAAGGCGCGAATTCTTTAGCTTTAATTTGTTATATATCAGATTAAAAGCAGTCGCAATAAAACTCTGTCGTTAGGGACTAATAAAAGGCAATAATTTCAGTTGATTAAATTTTTGTATACGTACCTGACTGATATGTTCAATTTTAGTATTATCCCAATGTCTAAACACGATACTATTATTAATTGTTTTTTATTTTAATCCTTAGACCGGCAAACACGACGAACTGATGGCCAAGCGAGGCCTATACTTCGAGCTGGTGCGTCAGCAGGAGCGACGGGATATCCAGGAGCAAGTTCAGGCCGTGGAGGACGTGGTGGTCGCCAAGGAGCAGCAGGGAACAGCGGCAGTGAGCAGCAGTTCCGCCGGCAGGACGAACACCGCCCAGGGTTAAAGGATTGTAGGCAAATTGATTATTCCCTGTAAACTTAATTTATTAGAATGTTTTGTTTTCACTTTTTTATTTCCAACTGACCAAAAAAAAAAATGGTAAGAGACGCTAAAGATAAGTATACAATAAAATAAACGCTGAGGACAGTATTGTTTTTGTTACAAAACGAAAGTATTTCATTGTCAACATCAAAACATTCACCAGTTTTCATCGCTAATGAATGGGTATATTTGTAGTTATTTGAGAATAAATAAATTATGGAATTTCTGAATAATTGCATATGTAAAGCTTAACCAAGGAAGCTCATTCGACAATATATTTTAACAATAAAGTTATTCCAATTGGTCCGTTAAATTGTTTTGAATCATATTCTTTAAAATGACCGCATTGCTTTTGCTATAAAAATCTAGTTTTCCCATTTTTAAAATGCGGTCATATTGCAGAAAAAACAAATTTCTTAATCTTAACTTGTTTTTTTTTTTCAAATTGTTAAAAATAGCAATAGAAAAAAATTAGTTAAAAAAATGGTGAAGTATTTTAAATTTGTTTGAGTTGCATCGAAATGGCCGATAGGTTAGGATTATTTTAATGATAGGTCTACGGTCACACTGGCACGATTGTAGTTTATTTTGTGTGGTTTTGTTGTTGTTTTGTTTATTATGCATTTCTTTTTTATTGTTTGAGTTCGCGAGTTGTGCGTCGGCATTTAAATTAAATCCGTGCAATTCGGCAGTGGTGGCCAATAGTTTTATTGCATGGCGGGAATTGTGGTTGAATAAAAAAAGGCGAAGAAAACCTAACAAATGTGCAATGTGCGTCAAGTCAATGGCAATACAAACGAACAATTATGTAAGTGTGTGTGTGTGATTGGTTTTATTTAGTGTACAAAAACGACAACAACAGCAGAAACAACAATAAACAGGTAACAATAGACGCGCATGTTGTTAAAACCAGTTGTTGTTGTATCTGCTTTGGGACATTTGTTAATGTCGTTGTTGTTCCCGTTCCCCCACACACATTTTCGAACAGTGTGTGTGTGTGTGTGTGTACGAGTGTGCAGCACCTGTACGCGTGTTCGTGTGCGCCAGCGGACATGTGTGTGTTGTGCTTCTGCCTTCGCACAGTGGTCGATTTTCTCAATTTTCATGGTCAAAAATAAACAAAACTGAATTAATTGCCTTAATTAACATAAATTGGCTGCAAGCTATGATGGTAACAGTTGATTAAACGAAATTTTAATCTAGAGCGACTATGTTCTACGATTAAATAACAATTAATTTCTTAATTGACTAAACTGACTGTTATAATATTATAGTTAATTTTAAAGCTGCCTGTTTAAAATAGGTTAAACCGCTCCAATCTTAATATTTTTTCTGTGTATCATCATCACTACAAGTTTTCATAGCAAACTTAGATAGAGTCGAAAGGCTAATTACAAAATTAGAAAACATTCTTTTTAATATGGTTTTAGTTAAACTTTACTGCCCACTGTGCACCAAAGCGTGTGTAAGTGCATTCGTCATTCATTGGCATAGTTTACGGGGGAGGGAGCGGGGTGGAGCACAACAACTACAGTTAGCTCAGCTGAAGTACAATTGCGATTATTGCAGTTGCTTCAAAGACCCATGGTTGTTGCTGCATCTACTCCGTTTTCACGGTCAATGTTGAGATATCTACATATTTACATTTGTATGTAAATCGATGATCGAAGCAAGAAACGCCGAACAGTCAATCAAAAGTCAGGCGGCTTTTGCATTCCATCGGAGGGGTTGACTCAGTCTTTATCGCGCGTGCAGCCCAACTGAACTCTAAACCAATCACTACCGATTCATAAATTTTTATATTTTGTCATTTCTTTAATTTTAACTACAGTCTCTGACGCTCAAAGAACAAAATTTAAGTACTGTCAAACAACATCATTTTAAGTTACCGAAAAGATACATATCTCTACATCTCTCTACATACATACATACATACATATGCACTTCGCATATTTGATTAATAAATTTAAATGCAACTTTTTAAGAGATAGTCAACTTTTTATCTTGTTTTCGACTCCTCACAACATAAAAATGCAGACAATGTTCAGTTGACTAAGTATAACAGTTCGAATCTGACAAATAAATATAGAAAATTGCAATATTATGGGCAATATTATCACAATTTCATTATCTTTAAAGAGAATTTATTATAAATCAAAATAAATATTTATGTTTGTATGTATAATACGGTTTTACAAAGGATACTACTCTTATCTTTAAATAATATATACATATTATCATTATTAAGCTTTATTTATACGCATATTTCTTTTGTTAAAGTTAGATTATAAAATTTAAAACAAATTCTCTTCGAACTTACTCTGAGATATAATGGTTTTTGACTATTTTTGTTCAAAAATTAAATAGTTTATTTAAAGGAGTTATAATAAAAAACAAGGAGTTATATAAAAATATAAACATAACCTTACGTATGTATGTGGTTGCAGCTTAGTTTTACTGACTTGTTTACGACTATTGGAATTATGTGGGTCATTTTCCGTGACTGTCAGTCTATATTTACTATATTTAATACCTATTCCGTCATTCGCTAATATCTTTTCACCCCTCCTTGCCTTTCTCCCTTAGTGCTAACGTAATCGGGCCAAGGCACAAAAACATTCCATGCATCATCATCAGCAACGCCTGCGGGAAAATGGCGGACGAGGAGGATCGGGATCAGGACCAGGATCAGGATTGTGCGCCCATTGCCGGGGTCAACTACTGCCCCATCCGGAGGAGCCCATCGTGATGGCCCTGGGTCAACAGTGGCACTGCGATTGCTTTCGCTGCTCCGTTTGCGAGGGCCACCTGCACAACTGGTACTTTGAGCGCGAGGGTCTACTGTACTGCCGCGAGGATTATTACGGCCGGTTTGGCGATGCCTGCCAGCAGTGTACGGCCGTAATCACCGGACCCGTAATGGTGGCCGGCGAGCACAAATTCCATCCGGAGTGCTTCTGCTGTGCAGCATGTGGTTCCTTCATCGGCGAGGGTGAATCGTATGCGCTGGTCGAGCGGTCGAAGCTCTACTGTGGCCAGTGCTATGGCAAGCGATCCTGCCAGCCGGCGGATGCCAAGGCACGTATCACGACGGCCGGCAAGCCGATGCACTCCATCCGTCTGGTGGAGATCCCCAAGGACGCCACTCCAGGCCTGAGGGTCGACGGAGTTGCCCTGGACGATGGTTGCCCCACAGTCCGAATTACAGAGTAAGTGACTTGGTTAATTAGGGTCATCATCCTCATAAACATGTATCTAATATCGATCGTGGTTACTCCTTTATATTATTTTATTTGTTAGATTTTCATTATGTTGTGCTATCTTTTGTTGTTCATTTTTAACAAATCATATATTTATTTTAAGAATATTATGTAGTAAATGTAGGCACATTCATTAAACATTCACATTTTTAGAAGCGAAAATAATAACAATACTTTAACACAACTTTTTAATAAGCTTTCTTCCTACAATAAAAAATATATCGAATAATATTAATTAAAAATGTATCAAACAATTTCCGAGTAAATGGTTTTTAAACGACCTAAGCTACATATGCGATATTTTTCATGTATTTTTGAATAGTCAATTGTTACATAATTTTTGTAAATGAACAAGGAAAGAAAATACAAATTTTTTTTTATATATTTTTTATAAAATTGTCCCAATGATATGGATGCATTAAAAGTTGCACATTTTTGGCACTAATAAGTTATGTATACAAATAGTGATGGTCTACGTGTTGACAAAGTTTGTGAATTCAATTGGCAAAGGTATAGGTTTTAATATTACATTTCCTTCAAAACGCTTAAATTCAGCCCTATTATTATCTGTCCATTATTTGCGAATCTAAAATGAAATGATACAAATTATATATAATTGCATTATCGTTTCTGTATTTGTAAAGAAGTTATTGATTGCTTTGTGGCTTTCTTTTGGTTGTAGTTAAGTTGCCGATGTTAAAGTTTATGTATTATCCAATTAGCTTCAGCAAAGTACTTCTCATCTTATACTAATTCCGCTTGTGCTTCGACCTACGCCTATTTCCCCTTAATACATGCCTACCCCGAAATAAACAAAAAAAACGGAATAGCTTGTTCTGTAACTTCTTCATCTGGCTGACCTCGGTGGCGGAACAGTGCTGTGGTGCGCCTTATAGGTAACACCCCTTGAGTAATAACCTTACCAAACAAAGCGAGCAAACCCAAAAGAATCCCTTCTAATCTCTGATTCATTTTGCTCTCGCCAGAATCGATGTGAATCTGACTAACTTGCACATTGGGGACCGCATCCTGGAGGTGAACGGCACGCCAGTCAGTGATTCTTCGGTGGAGCAGATCGACAAACTGATCCGGAGTAATGAAAAGATGCTGCAGCTGACCGTGGAGCATGATCCGGTGCAAGTGTGCCGCTCCTGCAGCCAAGCGGATATCCAGAGGGCCATGTCAGCGTCCACGTTAATCCTGCCGCTCAGCACTTCGGCCTCCAGTGTGGAGGTGGGCAGGGAGCGACTCTATAAGACGCCCGGCGAACAGGGATCGAAGGCCAGGAAACTGCGGCAAGCCAGCAATGCCTCAACCACCATACCACCGGCAGCCGGAGCCGCTGCAATGACCCAACTCAAGGAGAAGGAGCGATGCTCCAGTCTGTCCAAGCTGCTCGATGAACAGCATCAGGCGCAACAGCACTCGGCACATCCCCAGCTCTACGATCTGTCCAGGACACAATCCTGTCGAGTGGTCCAAAAACCTCAGAGAATTTTTCGGGCCTCCGATCTTGTTATTGGCGAAAAGTTGGGCGAGGGCTTTTTTGGTAAGGTCTTTAAGGTCACACATCGCCAGAGTGGCGAGGTGATGGTCCTCAAGGAACTCCATCGGGCGGATGAGGAAGCCCAAAGGAATTTCATCAAGGAAGTGGCTGTTCTCCGTTTGCTGGACCATCGCCATGTACTCAAATTTATTGGAGTGCTATACAAGGAGAAGAAACTGCACATGGTCACCGAATATGTGGCCGGTGGTTGTCTCAAGGAGCTGATCCACGACTCTGCCCAGATCCTGTCCTGGCCGCAGCGCGTCTGCTTGGCCAGGGACATTGCCTGCGGCATGAGCTACCTGCACTCGATGAACATCATCCATCGTGATCTGAACTCGATGAATTGTTTGGTGCGCGAGGATCGTTCGGTTATAGTGGCGGATTTTGGTCTAGCACGCAGTGTGGACGCACCGCGTCTGCCTGGTGGGGTCGCATCCTCCGATCGAGGTGGCAATGGAACTCCGGGCGGCTATGGATCGGGAGCTGGCAGCGATGCGGCCATGTCGCCGGGCGGAACTCTAAGGCGCAGCAAGAGCAGACAGCGAAGGCAGCGATACACGGTGGTCGGGAATCCCTACTGGATGGCACCCGAGATGATGAAGGGCCTCAAGTACGATGAGAAGGTCGACGTCTTTTCCTTCGGCATTATGTTGTGTGAGGTGAGATTGAGTTAGTACAACTTTGAGCAGGATGAATTAAAAGAAGCTTGTTGTAAACGGTGAAGCGTCAACAGAAAATTATTTACTTATTAGAAAATGATATAAAATAATAATGTATCATTTTAATATAGATATTAATTTAAGTAGATAAATATCAAAACCCTTTTAATAGACTATGTAGATTGTATATTAATAGCCGCTGCACCGTTCACAACCAATTAAAGTTGTATTTGTTTTTTTTACTACTTTTCTAGCCAACTTTTCAATTAAATTATCAAATATTTTGCAGATTATTGGACGCGTGGAGGCGGATCCTGATTTTATGCCCCGCAACTCAGACTTCAGCCTCAATCAGCAGGAGTTCCGCGAGAAGTTCTGCTGCCAGTGTCCGGAGGCTTTTGTCAAAGTGGCCTTCGTGTGCTGCGACCTCAATCCGGATCTGCGTCCTTGCTTTGAGACCCTGCACGTGTGGCTCCAGCGGCTGGGCGATGATCTGGCCGCCGATCGTGTGCCACCCGAGCGCCTCCTTTCCGAAATCGAGAACTTCCAGGAGTGGTACGCCAGCTCCGAGGATGCCCTCTCACCCACCTCGCAGCGCAGCTTGAATAATCTCGATGAGGTGGTCAAGATTGCGATTGAAACGGAAATTTCAACAGGGGAAAAGGAGAAGGAGAACCAGGTTATCAAGCCGCAGGATATACCAAAATCACCGCATCTCGGCAAGGATTTCTCGCCGAGCGGTGAGAGATTGCGGGATAGTATGCGTGCCAGGCGTCGCCAGCGTTTTCTGGGCGCCCAGGAGGAGCGCCGTAATCTCACGCCGGAAACAGAGTCCAAGGAAAGAGCCTTGAAGCAGGCGCTCAGGAAATGTCGACCGTTTGGTGAAAGAGGTTACTTGGTAGACCTGCGACCCGGTGCCGAACTGCAGCTGCAGGATGTAAGGGATTTGAATACCTACTCCGATGTGGATTCCAGTTGCGATACGAGTTTGAATTATCATGATGTAAACAATCTGCCAGCGTCACAAGAAGACGAAAAGCCAGTGAAAACGACCAAGGAGGAGTTGGAGGAGAACGCAACCAGGACGGGTTCTCAGCATCGCCTGGCCATCGACGATATGCGCACCCGCTTGCATCAGTGCCGCAGCAAATTCGAGCATTTGGAGGAGGCCAGCCGACGGAACTTTAACCAATCCCAGCACTCGATGAGGAATTTTTTCAAAACCCCACCAGTGGCATTAAAGATGTTCCAGCGTTTGGAGCACGAGGCAGCGGCACTGAATGGTGGCAACAATTGCCCACCGCCACCGCCTCGCACGCAGCGCATCAACCAGACGCCCATCTTTGGACGAAAGAATCAGCCGGCGGCAAGTGTGGGACAAAAGTTGCAGCATGCGGAATCCCTAGAGCATTTAGCTTCCAGCGGAGTCGGCAAGCAATTGGCCACGCCGGCGCCTAAAAGGAGCAAGGCCGGCACAACGACAAAAAGTCAGAACAGTAGCATCACCACCGACCCGCCCAGCATCAGTAGTAGTGTTAATTTAAACAGTGTGGGCAATGAGACTACCAGTTGTCCACCACCCGCCCCAGATTGGCTGCCGAAAAAGCACAAGATGACACTGACGCTACCACTCCCGCCGCAATCACGTGTGCCCCCGCAACTGCCGCCGCAGCGAACGAGCAACAATCATCGCCTGCCATCGACCAATAGCAAAGGAAAGCCGCTAAAGCCACCGCCCAGTCGCACAGCCCAAGGAGTGCCCGCCAGCAATGGCGTCTCGCCCACCAGAAGCAGCAGGCCAGGATCCCCCAGCAAGCATCTGGCCCAGAGGCACACTGCCGCCACGGCCCAGCGATTGACCAATGGTAAGTACTGCCATTGTTTGGTATAGGATTATTCGCTCAATATCTATCGACATACCAAAAACTATTAAAATCAATCCATTATTTTTTAAGTTAATAGGAATTTAAGTGATTTATTGATGTGTTATTTTTGAGAGTTAATTGGAAAGCAATTCAACTAAAGTCATATCTTCCTTCAGCGTCCGCTGCTTACCAGCAACAGCAGCCACAACAATCCTCAAAGACCACACGCCTAAACATCCTCAGTCCGGAGAAGGTGCATCGCCTGGGAACCCGTCTCAGCGATCAGAAGCAGAAAATGCGCGAGGAAGCAGCGGCGACAGGCGCATCTGCCGGAGCATCACCCGCAACGGGATCCGCCAATGGTCACCTGCAGGGATATCGGACAGGTGCCTCGGGAACGACGAATCCTGTCGGCGGCGAAAGAAGGAGGCGAGCACCACCGCCACCGGTTCGCACGCATTTCAATACGCGCTGCTAGCTGGCAAAATTCGCTTTGCTCTATATATACTGGATTGTCAAGCGTTGTGCACAGTGTATTGTTCCACTCAGGGAGCTCTTTTAAGCAGTATAATTTTGGAATGACTAACTGTTGTAATTAGCCTAATTGTTTTTACCATGTAACTGTTGTAATTCATAATACTGTTCGCTTTTCTAATGTACAGAAATACCTATTCCACTATTTAACCATAATAATACTAAATTTCTGTAACATTTCAATCATTTTTCTGTGTAACCAGTCATTTTATATAACTATTTAACACTTTTAAAATGGAAATAACGTAAATTAACCAGTGAACTGTACCGCTGTTGTAAACTCAACTGTTATATACGCACATGACAAAATCAACATTCCAACAAAATACAGGATTCGACTGCGAAAACACAACAAAAAATTTAAAAACGAATATCGAACTATAGCGACACTCTTCGAATTGAAAACTAAATGATTCTGTTAATGCTTAATTTGAGGGATAAATAGAAATCAATTCCAAGAGCGGCAATCGACGACAGCTTAGAAGGCGGTCGAAAACAAATTATAAGAAGGGCAGCTACACAATTATAACAGTGATGCTCAAAAAGCTGTACGAAAACTGTTATACTCAGCGCTTTATGAAGTGTTTATATTTTGTTTCTAACATTAAATTTTAAGTTTAAACAAACCGAAGGTTAAGTGCCTGTTAAGAAAGAAAAAACCACAAAGTTGCAATATTTACATAGATTGTATAATGTACCATGCGAATAATTATAGTATTTAAGATAACAGGGTAACAACTGTTTTGACTAACCTAACGAACTCAACTAAAATGCTAAGCAATTACTTTTTTAGCCCACCATTGTCTGACATAAAGTTATATTGAGAAAGAGATAGAGAGTTACAGATGATGAGAGGGAAGAAACTTGTGCCATGAAGCTGAGGGAAGAACGAAAGAATCTAATGAATCCTTGCGGGAAAGGAGGAGCCCACCCACAAAAAGACAATGGAACGAAAAGAACTTTAACTAGATAAATTGTGGTTTAAATATTTTTTGATATACACCATATATTTATATATATATTCCATAACTATATAGATAAACGTATTCCATGTTAGTGCTTAAATCTAATTTATTATTTATCGATTTATCCACCCATCCGCCCCCCCGTCCTCCCATTCCATGAACAATAATTAACCATGCTAAGGAACAACATTATTTTGTATTGTGGAGGAAAAGTCTAACTTTTATAATCGTATAAGAACGTTTTTGCTCAAAGGCAATTTTAGTTGTAAGTGACACACACCCACGCTAACTGTTATACAAAACACGCACACGCTCAAGCCTAATACTGTTATACTGTTAAACTGTGTACTGTATATAGCCATTATACATAAACCTTTATATAGGATCGAAACGCTTTGCAATTAACTGCTTATATGTATATGACACTTGAGCCTGGCCACTGTTATACGCCAGTATATGTCAGTATAACAGTGGCTCCGCCCAATCGATCTAGCATTTAATTATCTATATACAACAAAATATGTGCGGTATTTTTATATGCGGTTAATATAATGTGTTGTATTTTGACTCCACTCCAACTTATACCTACGTTTATACGCCTGCTATTCGATGTTTCAAAATATTTTAGGTATTAACAAATAAAACTTACATAATTGCATATAATCTCCACACCGTTGAACAGATAAAATCAGTATAGCAACATTTTTCTGCCTATTTGTAAAGAAGTTTACTAACAATTAACCCTTTTATTGCCTAGTTATTTGGGTAAATAAAGATTTGTATTTACAAATAAAGCTTGTGTATAAACGTAGTATAAACTCTCCATTGATTTTAACTTAAAACATTTTTTTTTGTTAATAAAAAGTGAAAATTGGAAAAAATAAATAAACAAACTGAATGGAAAGTAAATTTGATTTATTGCAGTATACGAAACAATATTTTGCGTGGGGTTCTTGAAAATATATAGTGTAAGTATATAGAAGTGCAGGCTTTAGGTCACTTTTCTGCCAAGCCATTTTTCGAAAATATGGAAAATATATTCATATTTATAGAAATGACGAAAAATCGACCAAAAAACGCAAATCAAACTGAAAACACAGTTTTTTAGAGAATTAAACCACGATCATTTAGAAGTATGCCATTTTGAAATCGGATGTCTGTACAAAAAGTTATGGGCTTAGAAGTGAGGTTTTTTGGTGACTTTTCTGGAAAGCCAGTTTTCGAAAATTTGGAAAGGGTCATAGAAATGACCAAAAATCGACCCAAAAACGCAAATCAAACTGAAAACACAGTTTTTTAGAGAATTAAACCACGATCATTTAGAAGTATGCCATTTTGAAATCGGATGTCTGTACGAAAAGTTATGGGCTTAGAAGTGAGGTTTTTTGGTGACTTTTCTGGAAAGCCAGTTTTCGAAAATTTGGAAAGGGTAACCCCTTTCATTCCATTTCATAGAAATGACCAAAATTCGACCCAAAAACACAAATCAAACTGAAAACACAGTTTTTTAGAGAATTAAACCACGATCATTTAGAAGCATGCCATTTTGAAATCGGATGTCTGTACAAAAAGTTATGGGCTTAGAAGTGAGGTTTTTTGGTGACTTTTCTGGAAAGCCAGTTTTCGAAAATTTGGCAAGGGGTTATATAAATGACGAAAATTCGACCCAAAAACCAAATCAAACTGAAAACACAGTTTTTAGAGAATTAAACCACGATCATATAGAAGTATGCCATTTTGAAATCGGATGTATGTACAAAAAGTTATGGGCTTAGAAGTGTGGTTTTTTTGGTGACTTTTCGGAAAGCCAGTTTTCGAAAATTTGGAGGATCGTACATTTTTGACTAAAATATAATACCCCCTGCCAGGGTATAAAAAGGATGCTATTCGATTTGCATTAAAGTTTTTAAAAGTTGGTATCCAAACTGCGACTTAGGCCTAAACAGATGGCCAGGACAGTGGGTCGGAAAAAAGAGGGTAAAGGCCCGTTACGAGGTCGTTGCTTGTTCGTGTGTATCTGGATGCTCCTTTTCCGCATTGCCTTTTTCCAGGATGTACGCACGGATATATGTACATACATATGTAGCTATGGACGGCTGTCGTGGAATGGAATTTGTCCCAGACCATGGTCGGGAAATCGATGCAGGCCAACAGCCCAGGACAATGCGAGCACCCACACATCAACATGTATATGCAAGTCCTTGCAATTCGTTGTCTTGCGCACTGACTTCCGATGTCCTTTTCATTTTGTTAAGGAAATAAGCGACGTTGCCGCGCTTCAGCTTTTAATTTCATTAACAGTTACAGAGCTCTGCTAAATCAGCTGTTCGCAGAGCGAAAGAGATGCAAGATACCAGATTCAAGGTCTACATTTCTGTATCCAAAGCACCAACAAACATATCGCATGTACACCTATATATATATATATACGTGTGTATATAGGATATATATATATAGGATGTGTATCCAGGCAGGACACGAACCTTGCATGGTAGACTTGCTGACGAACTTTACCACCCACATTTTGGGGCGAACTTCGTCACTAGCCTAGCGCCGCTTTGCGTGTGTCTTTCGATTATGACGTGCAGGCACGTACTCAAGCAGAGACGTACGCAAAGAAGAAGGGGTTTCGCCACACGAATTGAACCCTAAACAATTCTGTTACACAGATTTAAGTCACAAACAAACCTTTAATTTGGGATAGTTAAATAGTTAAAATGATTAAAAAAATTAATTCATACATAAAATTCCAAAAATAATGTACGCTGTTTTAAAAATCTGATCAATGTCGGTTATAATAAGTTAAGGCTTCAAAATTCATAGCACATTTAAAACAAAAATTTAGAAACTATTTACGATCTTTTGATCAGTATTTGTTATAATAACAATAAGATTAAATAAATTGAACACCATACAATTCTGTTACCGTTAATTGGGATAGTAAAAGACCCGAAAGAATTCAGGACTCTTTGACAATAGGATCGGTATCGGTTGTGATTACTACATATTTTTTAATTTTAAAAGTTAAAACGGATATAAAGTTTAGAAGAACATTAAACTTAAAAAAATAATTAATAATAATGATAAATGAAAACTCAATACAAAGTTTCACAGATTCTTATCTAATTGCATCTTTATTTATTTTTGGGTTAATTCAATTTTTTCCAGTTATGAAACTTTTAATGTAAGAAGAAAGCAAATAGATTACTCGGCTATACATTTTAAATATTTGTAGTTTTTAAAGAATGTATAAATCAAATTTATGGTTTAATTGGGAATATAGAATAGGTTAGAGTATACAATTTTGAGTGTATGTTTTGTGTACAAATATTTTTACTTTCGATCACAAATACGGGGTATAAAAAGTCGAATAACATAATTTGCATAGGTTTAAGTCCGCGGTGCAGTTCCGCCAACGTCAACAACTGTGGTTTGAGTCCATGGTTGTATATTTCAGTGCTTGGTATTTCTTTGGTATTTTCAGTATACCGTGATGTATTTTTTAGTGCGTTTTGGCCGGCCCCTCAGGTATATTCGCACGTTGGCCCCAAGGTCACTCTGTCAGCGAGTTTTGTGGCGTCCGGTTGGTTTTTCCGTTATTCGCTGCGTCGCTCGTTCTCCTCGTTCGTTTTTGTATTTCCATTTCCTCCACGTTTTTGGCGTCGTACGTGTACGTGTTCCGCTCTCTACCGCTCTCTCCTCTCACTCGCGCGCGCGGGCTCTCGCGCTTGTCAAGTGTGTGTCGTTGGTATGTGTGTGTGAGTAGCGCAGCGCAATAGAAAACATTAGTGAATTTTTTTCGGGTGAAGCGCGGTGAAAAATGCGTGCGCGCGTGTGTGTGCGTGTGCGAAAATCAATATGAAAACATGAATAACAAAAGCTAAGAAAAACAGCAACAAAAAAGGAGAAAATAATAAAAAAAAAAAAAGAGGAAAAGGAAAGAATAAAACAGTAAGCCATTCCAGTGAGTGCACACACCAGAGATTTCCAGAGAGATCCCCACATCCAGGCAGAAGTCCAGGTTCCAGTTTCCAGGATGTCGCTGCAAACGAAAAGGCAGCACTGCTACTTGTGCGACTTGCCCCGAATGCCGTGGGCGATGATCAATGACTTTTCGGAGGCAGTGTGCCGCGGTTGCGTCAATTACGAGGGCGCCGATCGCATCGAGGCGGTGCTGGACGCCGCCCGCCAAATGAAGCGTCTCCATCCCGCCAGCAAACAGCAGCGTTCGCACGAGAACGGCGAAGTGGCCGCCGCCGCAGCGGTTGTGCTTCAGCAGCAACAACAGTTACAAGTAGGACCGGTTCCGGGACCAGGTCCGGGCTCCCATCGCGGCGGTGGACCGCCCGGTGGGGGTGGTCCGGGCCCATCAGGTGCGGGGGGCCCGGGGTCCCTATCACTTGGCTCGGCCGTGGCCGCTGCAGCAGCTGCCGCCGCCCATCATCATCATCAGATGCCCTATCAAATGCCCGTGCCGCGCATCGGTCCACCCCTGGATTATCCCGTTAAGCTGGAAGATGCCCCCGGTGGTGGAGTGCGTCCAGTTAGGATTTCCCATATGACGCCCCTCCACCTGCGGGGCGGAGGTGGAGGCGGCCCTGGAGGGGGCGTGCCCACAGCCGGAACCGGCCAAGGGAACAATCTACCGCCCACCCTGTCCGTTAACCTTAAGCGACCGCCCAGCGAGGACGTCGACGTGGATGTAGCCCAACAGCAACAGTCGGCCCACGGTTTACCATCGGATGGCGGACCAGCCCCCCTGTCCGCCGGCGGAGGCGGAGCGGGGGGTGGTCCGCCCGGCGTCAAGCGCAGCGCCATGGACGATCCCACAGGCGTGGGCGGCAGGCCGCCGTTGACCCGAGGCGAGTCCCTGCCCGCAGCGGTCAGCTATGTCCCCGAACGGCAGCTAAGCGGTCTGAGGGATAAACAGCAGCCGGTCAGAGCGCCCAGCTTCGATGCATCGACCTTCAAAGCAGGTGAGCAAAACGGTCAAGCGCTCTTGGCCATTCAAATACTTATTGGGAGGATCGCATTAGAAGCTAATAACCAAGAGAAAGGTCACTTTTTACAATGGTCAATAAGGGGAAAGAAAAAAACTAAGCTATTGTAAATATAGCACCAAATTACATTGATCCATATAATGAGAAGTTACCAAAAAAAAGCAGAATCATTTTAAAGTAGTCACCAAAGAAAATAAATAGACGTTTATAAATGGTTCTATACAGTATCAAAAAATACAAAACCTTGTTGAGACCAGATAAGTAAGGGATAAATAATAAACTGCACTCTACCAATTCTAAACTACTGTTATTAATTAATATTATCAATTGCAATAGTCACTAAACTAGTCCTTGCGTTAGAATATCGAGCAAAACTTTTGTTGACATGGGGCTCGACATTTTTTAAATCAATGATTATGGTAGAGATTAGATTATTTTTAAAGTGCATACTATCAATTACAGTTTACAATATCAAAGTCAAAGAAAAATCGTTTTGGGATAATCCCCTATCAATAATAAAAATGGATTTCTTATCAGTTTTAGTAATCAAATCGCAATATGAAAACGAAAATAGGGTGATAGTAATGGTCAGTCTGGGTGAACTTTCAGTTAGCCCAACTTGTAAGAAACTATAAATCAACCGAAAAGAGACAAATCTTGTTCTTATCAAGTTACAGTCAACACTATGCAAAGGGCAACTTAAAACTTAACTTAAACTTAATTTAAATAGTTGAAATTAGAATTATATAAATTAAAAAAAAAAAATGTAAATAGTTTAATTAACTTCTTACTTTATATGGACGGATAGTGAAGCTGGTTAGAAACCCAATAAGAACAAGGCCCTTTAAGAGTTCATTTAGAGTGTAAATGTCAGCAGAAAATTCCATTCAATAATGCGTAAAGAAATTGCTTAAACATATGTGTTATAGGGAATTATTTGTTTATGTAAAACTACAAACAAAATAAAAGTAATAAGATCTACAGGGAATTTGAAAGCTTGTTGTGGGCTTTTAGTTTAGAATTTTGTCTAAGGTAAAATATTGTTGAAATCGCCGCTTTAATTAACTGGCACCCACTGTATTTGTTTACCGTTTTTAGCGGCGGAGAGAGACAGAGAGCCTGCGATCGCGGAGGAGAGAGAGCTGTCTGTCCCGCTCCAGTTAGGAGGGGGACGGAGTGGGTGTAAGGAAGCAGCAGCGATACAGATAAGGCAGGGCAGCCAAACTGGCACACATACAGATATTCAGGCCAGAGTGAAACGGCGTGATTGCCTGCTCTTATCTTTCCTGACTGGAAAGTCGAAGAAGAAGCAGTAGGAATCTACGAGTGTTGTGTATGTGATAAGCGGGGTATTCCGATTAGATAACGTTTTTTCTTATCAGCGTAGTCTTATCTCTTCCCGATACGTTTGTAATTGTGTGTGTATATATAACACACACGAAAATCGTAGAAACGCATTTTGCAACCCTTCGAAAAAAAGGGGCTGCCAACCCTTGCCATTAAAAGGCATGCGCACATGCCAATATATAGGGAAAATACATGTACAACACGTATACATAGCTACGTGTTCGCTTACATGCACGTACGTAACAGTCGCAATAGCAAAAAAAAAATAACAAAAAAAACACAAAAAAAAGAGCCGCAGAATGTAATGAAAACAGACGTGCAAAAATTGTCGACGCTGACGTTGTAAGGTTCTCGCTCTCCCTTTCTCCCTCTTTCTTTCTCTGTTGCTCTCCTCTTCCCAAACTGGTTTTGTGTGTGCTAGCGTTTATGTGCTGGTGTGTTTTTTCTTGGCTGCGCGCGCAAAACGTCATTAAACTTGTTTTGGTTTTCGTTGCTGCTTCTTCTGCTGTTTCTCCTTTTACGCTATGCGATAACAAGTTGCACACACACACCTACAAACGAACCAGAGTGTAGATAAATTTTAGTTGGTATACGAATTACGGAACAAGCTGCAGTGACAGCAACAAAAAAAAACACTCCAAAACGAGATGAAAAAAACTTGCCCACACCGATGCCGTCATCAAACAGTGGGCAAAAGGTGAGTTTATTGGTTATAAAAAAAATTATGGGCAAATTATGGTAATGAATTTAGACGCTTTTTAGCCATGAATTGTAAAAAGAACAAATATAATAAAAGGTGAAAGAAACATTACAAATGTATCTTGTTTATTTTCATTTCCAATAATGTTGCGTACTTAAAGATACTTATATTATGAAATTATAGTTTGCATTTGTTTAATATATTTTATAATTTGGTTCATATCGGTTTGTTTTTCCTAAGAAATTAAATTTTATAGCAAACTGAAAAAATTCATACATATATATGTATATGTACATTGTTTATGTTATTATGTTTATTTCCAACGAATTCATAATTATTATTGTATAACATTGCAGTATCTGGTAATGGATCTCTCTTCTGATTTTTTTTTTATGTTTTGAGTCTTGCTATTTCGCAATGTGAGAAATGTTCCGATTAAAACTATTCACAATTTTTGTTTCTCTTATCTCTAAATATGAACATAAGCTACATACATACATACATATATAAAAAAAATATAGGTTCATCAGAAATGTTTTTTTTTATCAAATCTTCACTTTTTGACGAAATTACAACTTCTATTGGCTTAGATTTTTTTTTAAGAAACATGCCAACATATACATAAATTAATGATTCTATCTAAAAATATTTTGTTATATTTTGATATCAGCATATTAGAAGAAGAAAAATAGCCTTAAAGTTTAACATGCTTGCTGTGCCAATAATTAAGTTTGTCACTGTATGTAATCATACTCAAAATACACAGTTCTGGAATTAGCCATTAACACCCACTGTGCTAATTTCGTTGGCTGTTTTGTATTTACGTTACGCTTCTGTTTCTTCCTTCCTGTGTGTATTCGTTTCATTACCAAAAAAATACCAAATTGGGCACATACACATCCACATCCATATGTACATATATATTTCGTTTGTGTATATACTAAAAATATAACAAACATTTTCTCGGTGTACAGAGAAAAAGTTGTACAAATGAAGTACATACAGTCAACACAATATTTATTCGGACACCCGTGATTTTGATTTTGATTCATTAATAACTCAACAAAAACGTAACGAAAACAAACAATTTATATTTCATCGTGAAGGTTAACATTCTTTGAATATATTTTAACAAAAAAATAAGGAACTTTCAACAGTAAAATTAGATATTTTTTACGCACAGAAATTATTCGTACACTTCATATAATATTAAAAAAAAAACATATTTCTTGATGTTTTAATATTTTTAATATTTGGTGGGTCCTCCACTAACATCAATGACAGCTTGTAAGCATCGACCCATGCTTTTTACCAAGTTGCTTGTCTCATTAGCGCTAATTTGACCCCATTCAGCCATCAATGCAGTTTTTAAGGACTCCCTGGACGAAATGACGTGCTTCCGAATCCTTTTCTCAAGAATATCTCAAACATGTTCTATGGGACTTAAATTAGGTGACTGGGGAGGTGTTTTCAGCTGCTTGCAGTGATATAAAAGCCACTCTTGCACCAAAGACGAAGAATGTTGTCTTGTTGAAACAACAATGTCTTCGGATCTAGACCAAGTTTTATATCACTTGGAATCAAATTTTCGCTTAAAATGTTTTTGTAGATATTCTTATTAATTTTGTCGTCAATAAAGACCATTTGACCGACTTCTTCTACCGATACACACCCCCAAATCATTACATTCCCGCCACCATGCTAAACAGTTGGAATTAAGTTCTTCTCATTCATGGCTTCATTTGGTTTCCTCCACACTTTCGAGGTCCCATAGTGTCCAAATATGTAAAATTTGGATTTGTCGCTTAAAACTACGTTCTCCCAAAACGAATCCGGGTGGTTATATGCAGTTTTCCAAACTCCAAACGCTTTTTTTTGTACCAGCCTTGTACAGGTAGTTTCGGATGGTTTGGGCCCAAACTTCTTTTATTTTCGCTTGCTCTACATTCTTTTGAATTGTTGTAGATCTTGTTTTCGGATTTTTCAGGACTATAGACATAAATTTCCGTCCCTCACGTGAGTACAGAATCTTAGACCTTCTAGCTTTCTTGTGATTTGAAGCTCATTATTCCGTTTTTAAGTATTTTTGGATTATACTATGTATTGTGGAAGGTGATTTTCCATTAATACGACCGATTTCGCGATAACTACGATTTTCCAAAAATTAATTTAAGATAGGTTTTCGAAAATCTAGTGACAAATCTTGAACTCCGTTCGTTTTGACCAATCGTATCAAAAAAACACATAAAAACTAACAAAAAACAAAAAAAAAGCACGCCGAAAATTACTCCGAAGTAATTTCAACTAAACTACTTTAAAAAGAATCGCCTATTACCGTTGAGTTCAGAAATAAACACAATAAATGAGAAATGTACGAATAATTTTTGTGCAACATTTTAGCAACTTTTTTGCTTTTCTTTTAATATTTTTAAGGCTAATTTAAAAAATTACATTTTTGTTTCTGTAATGTCTTCTGAAAATCACTGTTTCTATGATAAGTACAAAAAAACCTGCTAAAATTACGAAAATTCCGGCAAAAAAGCTGTTAAACTTGATAATAGACAGTGTCCGAATAAATTTTGTGCTGACTGTATATATTTATGAAATGAAACGGCAACGTGCGCGCGCCACCCCCTCGCCACCTACTCCCCTCCTTTGCCCACTTCACACCCCCTTTTTCGTTTCGTTTCATTCAGCGCTTCATGCTGCCGGCTATGGGTGTGTGTGTGTGTATCTAGTTCGTGTGTATGCATTGACTGACTGACCATTCCAATGCGTTCGCCAGGAATTTGTTCGTGCCTTCCCTTTGGCGGGAGCAGAGTGGAGCCAAAGGAGTGCAGCTGCAGCATCTCCCTCTCCCTCTTTCGTAATTAGACATTGCGTGCTTAGTGCAGCTGCAGTTGCAGCAAGTGCAAGCAAGATGGCTAGC